ATGGCAGGTGGGGTTTAGGGGTGGGTGATTTTTGGGGGGTTTGTGATGTTTTGTAAGATACCAGGTGAGATACTGAGATTGTGTGTTGATGGATAGATAGATGTCTAACAATAAGAGAATTTCGCAGTCTCGCTTTGCACTTTTTGTGGGAATGGAATGGGGTTTGTTGATATGATGGATTGTATGAGTAAGGAGAGAGGAAAGGCTGGGGGATATATATACTGTAAGTGAGATGCTAATTCGATAGATAGTGGAAACTGGAAAGTCGACGGGTTTGTGTTTTATATCAGAAGCATTGGTGTTTGATGTTGGAGGTTCTTGGGAAGTTGAATAGTTGGGTGATACCTGGGTAGGGGTAAAGTAGATTTGACTTGTAGAGACTTCTAGATACTTGTATGTGTTTATGGAAAATGAGGAGGAGAAGAAATCGCTTGTTTCTTGGGGTTTGTTCATCTAGAAGATGGATTTACGGAACAGTTTATAGATTTGATCAATGTGTGGTGGGGGTAAATGAGTAGGTGAATAAGGAAGGGGTGTTGGGTTTGGAGAGTCGAATATTCTATCTTGTGATTCTTGGTTGATGATAGAAGCTAGTCTATATTATAACTATCTGTTTGTACTATATAGCGGTTGATATTATTGAAGAAGTGATGAAAAGTATTTTATATGGGATATTAGTATAGTAGTATTACTTGAATAGTATTTAACAAGTTAATGAATCTACTACTTAATGTAACTTAAATTAACTAGCATTTGAAATGAGTTGAGTTAAGTTGAGTTGAATAGTAATTTAGTAGAATTAAGTAGTTTAATTAGAATTGTTACTTGTGGATATGTTGCGTTTAGTTATAATATCCTTGTAAGATATGATAACTGAACTGTTTGTCCTAGAAGATTAGGTTAATTACTAATAAATAGTTGGGAAGTGAAGAAGAACTACGAGATCGATTACTGCGTCTTTTGTATGGATCTTTGAAACTGTCACAATTACATCTCGTCCCTCCCTCATCCACCAACCCATTTCCCATTTTCAATCATTAATCTTCTGCCAGTCCATCAAGGACATTTTCGCCCCAACCCTCAAAAAAATCGCACCAAGCTAAGCCCCAATTGCAAGTAAAGCCAATCCAATATCTCAAACACCCCCCAAACCTTCGAACTCACCTCCATATTCCCCTCACCCACCTCCTCAAACGCAAAAACCGGTGGCATCAACCCCACAAGACCAATCTGCAAATTCCCCGAAGAACTCGTCTCCACCTCCCTCTCCCTCAACTCCTCCACATCCCAATTCGCCCACACAAACTTCCCATTCAGGAATCTCGCTTCGGGACTAGCGAGCCAAACGGCGAAATGGGCTGGTAGGTCTTCTATAGCGTATGGAGCTCATTAGCATGTCCCGCTCTCTCAACTTACAAAAAAAGAGGGAAGGGTAGGGTTGTCTAGGGTAAGAAAGCAAACCATGATCCCACCCCCCCTTCCACCGCCTCTTCCCACTCATCTCCGTGCGTACCACCCCGGGTTGCAGACAAACGGCATGCAAATCCGGATTCTCCCTCCGGAAGTAGTCGACGAGGCGCAGAGCCGCGGCCTTGGACGCCGCGTACGAGGAGAAGCCGGGGATGGGGTCGAGGTGTGCGAATCCTGAGTTCATGCTGAGAACCATGGGCGTGGGGGATGCGTGGACGAGGAAGGCGCGGAGGGAGTGCAGGGTGCCTTTGACGTTTGTTTCGAAGGCGGTCCACCCTGTGGGGCTTTTGAGGTTAGGGTATGTTGAGAATGAGGATGAGGATGGGGATGGGGATGGGGATGAGATTTGACGTACATTCAACATCATCCACCGCCTCAGTCACAGGCGCAGGTCTAGCCATAAACCCCGCATTCGAAACGAAAACATTGATCTTCCCCATTCTCTCGGCAAGGTCCTTGAACGCAGCGGTGATCTGAGAGGCTATCGTGACATCCGCAACAGCGTATTCCACACCCGTTCCACTGTCCGTAGAGTATTTTGTAATCTCCTCGATGCTGGATTTCAGAATATCTTCTCGTCGACCGATGATGCCGATTTGCGAAGCTCCCGCTTGGGCAAAGGCTTTTGCGACGCTGAGACCGATTCCGGAGCCGCCGCCGGTAATCACTATTACCTTTCCTTTGGCGGACAACTCGGGTCGGAGGGGGGAGATGGAGGAGGTTGGTTGGGTGTGCCATTTTTTGGTGTAGGTTGGAATATTGATGGGGGATCCATGGTGGTTTGGCTGTTGTGGTGAGGAATTGAGGGGTTGTAGTGTTTTGGGGTTGGTTTTTGGGAATTTCTTAGATGATGAGGGTGGAGGAAGCTGGATTGTAGATGTAGCATGAGTCAATTTATCGGACAGTTTTATACAGTGCTATTGTGAAACAGCGGCGTTGTTTACCACTAACCGAGTAATGGTGAAGTGGTAGCTAAGCGAGGGGGTGAATCAACGAATCCTCACTTTTCAAATCCAAAAAAGTCTCTCACCCACGCGGTGGACAGAATAAGTGGCGGAACACACCCTGGTCCGTGCACAACTTTTAATGTAAGTCGTTATAATTACTCTGAAGTAAAAGCACTCACTTTTCAATTGCGTAAAGATGTTTTCGATACCTAGTTATCTTTCCTTCCTTTCTAATATAATTCGTGAGCTTCTGATTATTATAGGCATTTTGAGCGTTTTTTGAGCGTACTCAAGGGGGTATATTTGTATATGGAAAGTCATCGCTTATTGTGCACGGACCCATGGATGAACCGCCACTTTTTCTGTCCACCGCGAGTCACCAAAAAAGAACCCTTCTCCCCACCATTCAAGTTCCAACTTACACTCCCTTTTCACACCTCAATGTGTATAGTAAACATGTAACTCTACAACGACTTGGACCAGCGTAGGAAAAATATACGTAAGGGCTGTTTCATCCTACTCAAGTCTACTGAACTAGTACCTATGTACTCCTTTAATATCTGAGTATTTCTTTCTTTGTTACGCTGCGCTGCATACTTAGTACTTATGAAAAAAACTCGCCTAAGTCAGCGTTCGGTAACTGGAATTCCATTCCATTCCAGATACCCCCTCGGGAAGGATTCCATTCTATTTAGTATATTTATGAAATGATTCTATGATAGAGGTATATATTCTATAGAATATATAGAGTTTCCATCTATAATTTGTCACATGACCCGGAAAAGTGTACTCCCGCTGCGTCGACCAATAGGAAGTCCGTAGGGCCCTATTTATATTAAACAAGACATGTCACGTGAAGGTCCCCCTACATGTCTGCCTAGGGTACAAGTATCGCAAATACTTCTAGAATTAATTATAAAAGAACGTATTAGGTACTATTAATTCTTCCTAGCTATTTACCTTATATTAAGCTTAGTAGGTTCTGAATAGATTCTCCTACTTAACTTAATTACCCCGATTCAAGGTGGGGTATTGGAGCACATGATGGGGATCCCCTGAATTTGTTGGTTCATCGTCCCAAAGAATTCATCGTCACCAAATCTTCATTCATCAGAATCCCTCTCATACCTCATATTTCCTAATTGATCAAATTATTCTCCCAGTCCTCATTTCTGGTGATGTTAGTTAGTGCATCAACATCATATATTTCACTTTTGTCGTCTTCTTTTCCGTCAGCGAAATGACTGCTATCCGAACACGACTAAAGCTGGTCAGTTCTGGATAGAGAGAGGGGAACCTTTCGTTTCTCGAAAATTGCAAGAGAGAAAAGTGATTAGAGTATCTAGAGGTATTATTGAGTGGTAGTCAGAGCACGAAGATGTGTATTTTTCGTGTTTCGTGTCCCTCATTTTCAGCTCATTGTGGCACAGTACTATGTCGATCACTGTGGACCATGTTGCATCCTCCAGGGCTTTGGTGACGAGTCTACTTAGACAACGCTTCGTCTTTTCTTTCGTAAAGTTTCTCTGATACTTTTATTTCCTTCTACTACTGTCTTTTCCTGTTGACTGGAGGAATTGGTCGCACTGCAATTATATGTGGATGGATTGACCATCATCGCTCTCTCCGAATAGCCTCAACCAGATGCGAACGCGCAAAAATACCTTATCAATCCAATGAAGCGTCTTGCGACCCATACAAGTAATCCTATCGCTCGAAATATACTCCACGATGTACCCCCATATGCCTAGATTTCTAGGCCCCGAATCTCACTCCCGATCGACACTCAGACGGATTTTTACATTCGAAGGAACGCGAAATCCGAAAGTGATAATTGGCATACTCCTCGCCATAATATTCATGCTCTCATTTGGTGGATTTCTCATGGAGATGCCAGCTGTACGGCTATACGAGGATATACTATGCCATCATTACTACAATGGATTGGAAGGAGAAGCACATATCGGGTTTGACGAACCAATTGATGAGGAGATGTGTAAAGGGAATGCGGTTCAGAATGAGTTGAACTTTCTTTTTGGGACGTTGCATTTTATCTCGCCGATTCCGAGGTTGTTGACGACGATTCCATATGGGGCGTTGGCGGATAGGTATGATATAAATATCCGCTATGGTTGGTGGGATTTTGCTCAAGCTGATTAATTTCATATAGAATTGGAAGAAAACCTGTCTTCATCCTCGCCATTGTTGGTTTCATTCTTTCGGGTCTATGTGATATTTTGATTGTATCCCTTTGGAAAGTCTTGCCTTTGCGTTTAATTTGGCTTTCTCCTCTATTTACCTTTATTGGAGGAGGAGAAGCGGTAGCAGCAATGATTGTATGGCATTCACAATCTTATCCTGAATTCTGAATCATATACAAATGCTGACATGGTCATTTGTTAGTTTTATGCTATTGCTTGCGATATAACCACAGAGACCGCCAGGTTTGTAAGCCAAACTCTTGTCAGGAGAACACCTACTAATCTAACCCAGAGCCAATGTATTTTTACTCGGAGGTTGTGGAGCTCTCGCTTCTACCCTCGTAGCGCCAACGGTCGCAAGTTTCCTCATGGCTGTATCACCAATGCTTCCATTGTTTGTAGGACTCGCAACGATGATATGCGGTGCTTCCATTACATTCTTCATGCCAGAAACCTTACACCTTCGACTTTCGGCAACCACAGGACAACTCGCAAAATCTTTGCCGCCAGAACAATCTGATGTTCACAGGAAGCCAAAACCAAAATTCAGGCAATCGACATCATTTATGAGCCTCAAGTCTAATATTACAGATTTCTTGGGCAGGGCCTATGAAGCTATCAAAGTTATTAGCTCTGTTCGTATGCAGGTTCTTCTTGTCACATTCATTGCCTTACCTTTTTGTAATCAATCCGTTGGGTTATCAATTCGATATGTGTCGAATCGCTTCTCTTGGAAACTACGAGAGACCATGCTTCTCTTATCCATGCGTGCTTTAGTAAACATCATCATATTAATGGCACTCGTCCCTCTTATTTCGAAACTCCTCACCAAGAAGTTCGGCTTCACCTCCCAGGAAAAGGATCTTCTCCTTGTCCGGTTCTCGATCATCATGTTCATCATCGGCTCTCTCGTCATTGCCGCAAGTCCCACGATCGGGCTCACGATTGCTGGGATGATTATTTGGACCGTTGGGACAGGATTTGATTCCTTCATACGCTCTTTGATAACGGCATTGGTGGATAAAGAGCATATTGCACGTCTCTATTCGATCATTACTGTAGTTGAAACCTTAGGTGCTTTAGTAGCTGGTCCCTCGCTTAACTACTCTTACTCTGTGGGACTTGAGAAAGGCGATGGCTGGAGTGGCTTGCCATTTTACTTTCTGGCTCTTGTGTGTCTTTTTGCTAGTTTCGGAGTTTGGTCGTATGGGTGGTACGGGTCGAATGGGAGCTTTGGGAGGCAGAATTTCGATTATGAGCCTGTGCCATTTGGCGAGGAGTATTTGGGTGATCTTGAGGAAGTTGAGGGGCTTGGGGAAGACCGTATTATGCTGGAGTCTGTGTTGGAAAGGGAGTGGGATCGAAGCCATGTCAGGATATAAGGCATGTGAGGGTGTCACGACTCCTACTGTGTATATACAGAATCGATTCGCACGGAGACAGATGAATTTATGTAGGTTTTCATTGACTAGCATCCCCTAACCAACTAATAGTTCACACAGATATCTTGTCCTACCACATCTTTAAGACCCCTTCAATTGCTGGCTCTCCTGCGACAGCCATCTCATACGCCAATTTGTATTGCTTCAATTCTTGGGAGAAGAGCAATCTCCTGTCTGTCCATCCCGTCAAAGCTCTCAGCTTCTCGCTTCCCGTCCACTGCGAAAACCCAAACAACATTCTACCCAAATCTTCATCTACATGCAACGCATGTAAAATAGTCTCGGGATCCTCCCTGAACTCCAAGCAGCTCTTCGCTGTCGCTTCTTGAGCCTTAACGAAGAACCCCATGTAGTAACTCGAGCTGAAACCTTAAACATTCGTTGGTCGGATGACCGCTGCATCAAAAGCGTCGCCATGATGAAAAGCCCTCATAGCATAGTTCGCGCGATCTCTCAACGCTTTCGGAGAGTTCAAAAGCGACGACTCGGTATGAGGTCTCAGACCTGGTGAGGTGGCGAGTTTGTCCGAATCCTATAATCTTTTCATCCACTCGTGAACAGCACGAGCAACTTCTCTTTCCCTCCTACCTTCGTTAATTCTACGACCTTGTGGAGAAGTGGAATGATGGCATTGTAGTGAGGGATGTAGTTGCTTAATTGCTCTGTGGTTGAGATAACGACATCGAATACTACGCCTTCTTCATTCAATTTTGTGAGGAAGGGGAAGGAAGGGTCATTGAAGGATCCGAGTACCGGTATCATATCATTATATGAGAGGGCCGAAGCATGTTTTTGGGAGCAAATGAGCCCGTATGTTTTCCAGCCTGCGCGAACGAAGGAGCGGGAGATTGCAGAGCCTATGTATCCGTTTGCGCCGGTTACTAGAACTGTTCTTGGGGCGGTATGTTTGGCCATTGTGGGTGTGGTGTTTGAAGATGATGGTTTGGAGTGGGGAAATGTAGACTGAAGTAGAAGTGATATTTTTTGTTTCTTTTGGAATTCTTTTGCGTGATATAGGGGCAGGTGTTTACATGACGTTCCAGTGCCATTCGCAACTTTCTTGATTTCAAAGCATTATCCACTTTTTCTGTTTGCTTGCATGCGGTTGACTTAAACCTCATGTTTATGCTAGAAGAGGGATGGGAAAACTTTTCAATGTTTTTCCCGATCTAGTTTGTGGTTGTGTATGTAGGTTCAGGATGATGCGAAATGATTTTTGTTTTTCGAAGGGAACCACTGTTCCATGAGTTATTGATTACAACATTTGAAAAACTTTATGTGGGTATATTGGTATGAGAAACAAGAGTTGCTGGTTCACGAAATAGCTTCGAGGTTTGCCAATCATGGATAAATATGACTCGGTGTTAAGAGACTCGATATGCACTCCAGGAAAGCTCATCTGTTAAGGATGCTTATACTCGACCAAACCAAGGTTCTAATGCAGTGCGCTACAAACAACACGCCACTTGTACTTTCTAATGGAGCGAACATGCTTTAAACATCAGATGCGCAAAAAGAAAGTTGAAGTAAGTCTTATCTTTTACTTTCTCTGACTTCTGGTTACAAGATATTGTGTTGTTTCCCTCAGGTCCATGCTGATTTCACCTCAAAAGACAACTTCACTTTTGAAAAGCACCTAGCAAACGAAGGGAAGCTCAACACGTCCTCGTGGTTCCGCAGGGATCCACTCAAAGGTGGCGTCTTTGTTTACTGTTTCTCTAAACCCGTTTCCACCAAAACGCAGCTTACACTTAACGCAATCTCGCGAGAACCTCGACGAGATCGATCTCGCAATACACCATACACCGTCAACATGGGCGACCATCAAAACGACCCCAGTGGCGAGTCCTTGCTTACCACTGGCCTCGCTGATCCCGCCATGCTAAGCAAAATCGATCGACTCTTCGCTTGCTATGTCGGTGACTACATTGATCTTCCGCAAATCGTCATGGTCGGTGATCAATCCAGCGGTAAGTATCAATTCATGGAATATTTGTTCAGGCTGGGTGCTTACTGATGGCTTGCAGGTAAAAGCTCTGTCCTTGAAGGTCCCACCGGTCTGCCGTTCCCAAGAAACAGCGACTTGTGCACACGATTTGCTACTCAGATCATCTTCAAACGTTCACCTTTGAAGCAAATCTACGCTGCGATTATCCCCGCCAAAGACTCTAGCGCTGACCACGCAGAGCAGATTCGAAGGTGGTCCCGCAATATCAAGATCCTGAACTCGGAGGCTTTCGAGGACGTCTTTCGTGAGGTAAAAACTAGACCTGTTCTTTATCTCAAATTTCACTGACAATTCCAGGTCCATTCATTCATGGGACTTACTGGAAAATCGGGCAAGACATTTTCTGACGATGTTTTGTGCTTGGAGATATCTGGACCTTTGGAGGAACATGTCAGTGTCATCGATATCTCGGGTATCTTCAAGAGAACCACAACCGGGATCACAACCAAGGATGATATGCAAATGGTACAAAATATGGTCCTGGGATATATGGAGAACCCAAGATCTGTGATACTAGCAGTTTGCCCAGCAAATGTCGACATAGCCACCCAGGAGATTTTGCAAATGGCAGAAGAGGTGGACCCGGAAGGAACTCGAACTTTAGGTCTTTTAACGAAGCCAGATCTTGTCGACAGAGGCGCAGAGGGTCATGTGATGAACCTAATCGAAGGCCGAAAGCATCATTTGGCACTCGGATGGCATTTAATTAGGAACCCTGGCCAACTAGAAATGTCTGAACAGTCCACTAACCGATACACATTAGAGCAAGCTTTCTTCAAGCACAAACTTCCGTTTAACAAACTCGACAAGGAAAGAGTTGGCATCCCGGCACTAGAGATTCGTTTGCAGGAGATTCTAACCGCTCACGCCCACCGGGAGTTTCCAGGAGTAAGTAGAACTTGAACCAGACTTGCAGCACCTGACTAACCTTTTCGAGGTAAAACTTGAACTAAATGAGAGATTGCAACTCTGTATGAAGCAGCTCTCGGATCTTGGATCAAGCAGAAAGACGTCGACAGAACAGAGACAATTTCTCGTGGAAATCGCCAGTCGTTTTCAAGAGTTGACATCACTAGCAACCAACTGTCGTTATTCTATGGATGCCATTTTCGACCAAAAGCCTGCCCTTAAACTTGCCACATATATAGTCACCCGCAGTTCACGATTCTCAAAAGCGATGGAGACACATGGTCATACGTACGAGTTTCAGGACGCTGTTACGTGTATAAAGGAACTCACGGAGTCGAAGACATCAAAATCAGATACTCCGACAGAAGGAACCAAAAATGAGAACACCAAAAAGGAGAAAACCAAAAGATCTCTCGGACACAAAACCCGCGAAGAAAATTTTGGTCCTGATATCCAGGGGATTATCCGCGAGAACAGTAGAGTATTGAGGCCAATCAAAAAAGGCATCATACAGTGGTTAGCAACCCTTCACGAGGAGTCCCGAGGATTTGAACTTGGCACTTTTGACCCTTTCCTACTTTCCGTTACGATGAAGAGACAATCACAGAAATGGGATGCAATTGCACTTGGTTACGTTGAAGATGCTGTCTCGAGAGTGCACAACCTTGTTACTGAGCTAGTTCAACACCTATGTCCAGATAAACGTATCCGAAACGGGCTCCAGACTGCTTTGATGGGACACCTTCTAGTACGATACAAAATCACAATTGCGCAGGTTGAATTCATCCTTCAGGTTGAACGACTGGATAAACCATCGACGCAGGACCACTATTTCAACGAAAAACTCGAGAAACGGTAGGATTACTTCATACCCAACGAGCAACATCGATCACTGACATACTGTTCCCATAGCCGACATGATAGAATCTACGAAGCAGCAAAGAAGAAATCTCGCTACCATGTTCCTGGCGATCCCAACACTCCGGCTGTTAGTGTTGAAGATCTCAAGTTCACGAACTCGATGAGTAACACCGAACACACAGTCCTAGATCTCCACGACATCCTAGCTTCTTACTACAAGGTGGCCCGTAAGCGATTCGTTGATACTGTTTGCATGCAGGCCGTCGAATACCATTTGATCTCAGGACCAACAACTCCATTGAAGCTCTTCTCGCCTGCCTTCGTTGGCACCCTGAGTGATGAGCAATTGGAGGAAATTGCAGGAGAGGACACGCAACAAAAACGTAAGCGCAAGCAACTTCAAAAGGAGATAGAGGATCTCGAGATGGGCAGGAAGATTCTAGCTTAGGAGTTTGATTACTTTGGGCTACGAGCAATGTACCTCCAAATGTTGGTTCAATTATGTGGCAATGGGTTCTATCTCCCGATTCGTGGAGACTTTGCTAGATGGAATTAATCCGTCTTGCCTAGCAGCAATGTATCTTAGAATAGGAGTTGACGAGTCTGTTTGTCAAACATGACTCGATCTTACCAAAGATACCCTTTGCAAACTGAAAATTGAAGTAATTTGACGCGAAAGTGTATGATCAAAAGAAATTGAATCCCTTTCTTGGGCTCAGAAGTTACGGGATACCCCTCTCATATCCCCCCTCTAGCACATCTCGAAAGTCAAGTCTCAAAATATAGATAGGGGCTTTCAACAATGGTTCAAAAAAGGCACTCGTCTTGCTCAGCAAGTGAAATGTAAATAGCCGAAAGTCAAGCGCGCCATGAGCGGGTACAGATAAGTGGCCGAGTGGCTGAAGTCAAAGAAGGGGCAGCTCGAGTCCAAGTCTCTTTTCCACGTGTGGTCAGCTGCTTGTGATTGATAAGAGTTCAAGGTCTAATAATCGAATTTGTGTTGAGTTTGGCTCCTTCCAGCTAGGCACATGAATTTACCACACCCCTGAATGCAGTCAGCCCTCATTCAAAATCCTCGCTTAATATGAATACACTTGGTCTAACTACTCTGTAAGCTTAATCTGCTTGCACTAAACGGAGGATTCACGAGAAATGTTGCGACATGGTCTTAGCTAGCCGAGACTCCTGTTTCTACTGCCTAACCTGTCTCAATTGCCTTGGTGGATGCCTAGTACTCTAGAGGCTTCCACTTGGTCAGGGTCGTCTTATAAAGACTCCACCCTTGCTCCTTTAGCTAGCTTCACTCCTAAATCCACTTTTTACAGCTCATTCTGACAGTCTCCTGTTTTGTCCCTGACAAAAATGTGGAGAAGAAGTGATTGTATAAAAATTTGTAGCGAGAGACTCGCACTTTATTTAGGTGGCTGGGAGGTGGCTGGGAACTTTTGCTTTTCAACTCTTCAGCAAGAACACTCAAGGCTCAAGACTTCGCCCTCATCAAAAGACACATACCTGGAGTAACCCTTCAAAACTCATCATCTCAAGCTCTCCATCAAAACTCCAAGCCCTGGCTTAAAACTCGTCTCTCATCCAACCTCAAACCCCCTCCCTCACCCCACTCTTACTCTACCCTCCCAATTCGCACCCAACAAGGCACAACACAGTACCACACAAAAAATGCCACCACCCACACCAACCAACCTAATAATCTGCTGCTGCCACAGCATCTACCTCAGTACCTCACCCAACACACCCCCCTGCNAAGGCACAACACAGTACCACACAAAAAATGCCACCACCCACACCAACCAACCTAATAATCTGCTGCTGCCACAGCATCTACCTCAGTACCTCACCCAACACACCCCCAGACCCCGCCCCCGGCACCTCCCCCTTCCCAGGAACCTCCCGCACATCCTGGCTCCTAACCCCCTTCCAACACCAAGAACACCACACATTCACAACCCACATCCACACCTCCCTCACCCTCCTCTCCCACGACCCCCTTTCCCTCCTCGTCTTCTCAGGTGGCTTCACCGATTCACGAGTAAAAACCAGTGAGGCGGCGAGTTATCTCGCTCTCTGCGAAGACTCTGGGTTTTGGTCCATAGACTCTAGATCTGGACATGAGGATGAAGGGGGAGAAGGAAAGGGCAAAGGGTCAAAGGAGAGGATTTTGCTAGAGGAAAAGGCTATGGATAGTTTGCAGAATTTGTTGTTTGGATTGCTGGGTTTTTGGAGGAGGACCGGGGGGTGGCCGGAGAAGATCAGTGTGGTTAGTATGGGGTTTAAGAGGGGGAGGGTTTTGGGGTGTCAGTGAGTGTGTTTTTTCTTCTTTTTTTCTTTGTGGGGTGTGTGGATGAGGGGTTTCTGTGAGGATGTTGGGGGAGAGAGGCGTGGTTGAAGTGATGAAGTCCCTGGGTTGGATTGTGCACAGGGGGTAAAATGAGTGGGAAAAGCCAATTTCCTCGAGGGTTTGATACCGTGAACAGGAGTCCAGATCAATCTGGCGTTCACGAAATCACGAGATTTCGATTTCTAAAGATTGGTTAGTTATTTGGAAAGAACTCAAACTAACAACCCCCCAGCATCCCAGCCCTCAAATTCCCCCTCTCCCGCGTGGAATTCATAGGCATCAACCCCAGCTACATGGATCCAAGCAGCCCCGACTACGATGAGGAAAGAATGAAATCGGTACTAGAGGGGGAGAAAACCAGAGGGTTCGACGCTTGGAAAGCAGATATGTACGGAACAGGAGATGTTCTGCGTGGGAAGAGAATCTCTAGGGATTATTTCAAGACGAGGGGAGTATGGTTTGAGAGTGAGGAGGAGAGGGAGAGGTCTGGAGTCCGGAGTGAGGTGAGGGTTTTTGGGGATGGTGTTGAGGAGGTTTTGGTGGAGGGGAGACAGCCTTGGGAGGATTCTTAGATCAAGAAATCTTACACCAGGGGTTGGAGTTATAACCAAAGAATCATGACTTAATTTCAGCCTTGGAGCTATGAATTATGTAATGTATAAACTTGCCTCCAGACCTCAAATCTTCGCCGCGGGAGGACTAGCCAGAGTATCATTCACAAACCTAATAGCATCCCTAACCATCCCCTCACTAAAAGCATGTCCTACGCCAGGATATACGTTATCTTCCAGATACACGTCTCCATCCCACCAGCCATCTTTCCCCGTTGCTTCTTTCAGAAAGGTTAGAAAGGGTTCGGAGCTTTTGTAAGGTACGAGTTTATCATCTGCGCCTGAGCAGACGAGGATTCGTTTTCCTTTGATGGTGGACTCGAGGGTTGGGCGGAGACGGGATTGTTCAGATGGAGACAGCGAAGGGATGGGTGATGTGCCGAAAAATAAAGATTTAGGGTCGTATTTCTGGGCTACCGTTATTAGGGATTGGGGGAAGTGTTTGCTTCCGAGGAAGGTGGCGCCATTGGTTGATGTGTAGGTGGGGAGTTTTGAGAGGCGGGCGCGGTCTGTCATTACGTCTTGGGGGTGTTAGTAGATGTATCACTTCATGGGTTGTCAAAATGGGAGGCACTATGGACTTCTTGGAAACGAAGGCTAAACACCCGGAATGGCATTGGCATGAAAAGAACGCGGGGGAAAATCCTAGGTTGAGGCACTTGCCCAAAATTTGAACCAATTCCGATACCAAAACATCAGAATATGATATGTCAAGTTTCACCAGAACTCACTAATGTAATCTGGACAGCCGATAATCACCACGCCCGCGGTAATTCGCGGTTCGCTGAAGAGTACCTGCCAAGCTGCATGACCACCAAGCGAAACGCCCAAGACCATATGTCGGTCAATCGAAGGGTCGTCCTGTGCGAGTAAAATATAGGATCCAAGATGATCAATCAAGAGACTCGTATCACAAGCTGTACCATGATATATACTGAAGCTCGTTAGGACTCGGTAGTTCATAAGAATAAATGCGACTTTATGATTGAGTAATACCTGAACATATCCTGAGCATGGTTCTCATTACCTTGCCTCCAAGACTCGTTTGACAATGGCGTCACCTCTCTTGTTCCATGATTTCTTTGGTCAAAAGCAATGGCCAGGAGACCGGTTTTCTTCTCGCCCGATTCTTGGTTCCAGGATTCAATACACTTGGAGGCAATGCTTGCCATGTCTTCTTTCGTCTTTAATCTTGGATTTAAGAGCCATAATACCGTTACTGATTTGCAACTCGAGGGTAACTCTTGGAGACCGTAGATATCTGTCAGAATGCCAGCTATGTGAAAGGTTTGTGATGATATATTTGAAGGTGGGGTAGTGAGAATTGAAGAATGTTCCATTTTTGGTAGAGGTTTGAAGTGAGTGAAGATATCAAGTTCCTAACTGGTGAATAATTTACATATACAATAAAAAGTGAATAGAGAAGTGATTGAAAGTAGTTCTACCTCTACATAGGTAGTGAACCAGCGAATTGGAAAGACTGCGGGGCACGTGAGGGGGTGCGGAAGGTCGGCCAAAAGATCGGCAGGCCCATCGGAAACAATTGTCCAATCACAACCCTTGTAAAAGCCTCGGTCTTGCTGGGATCAGGTGAATGCAGGTGAAAAGCGGCGATGGGCAAGGAAAGCACCACACCTACAAGTACTAGGTAGCCAGTGGTAGCCACTGCTAGCCCACAAGTGCTCTACTAGGTAGGTACCAGGTAGGCAGGTGCAGGTAGTGATGCATACTTTTAACCTCTTTGCATCATGGTTGGGTTTTTAGTTGCCGGTACTTTGGTGCTGATGCATTACTTGGGAATAACCTCCAGATTCACCTCTTCTGGCGAGTGGAGCCTACTTTGGCCTACTTTGGTTGGTTGATTGAGCCAAGGTACTGACTGTACCACGAATCATGCCGCTTTGTATTGTCTGACAGCGCACCCTCCCCCAACGTCACTCGTACGGCTTGTCGTGCTCACCCACGAACCCAAGAACGGACCTGTCCATAGAAAGACTAATACTACTACTACCGCTACCACACATACCTACGTAGCTCCTGAATTCCCTCGACTCTCGTGACACCGCATTCTTCCCTAACACCAGCAATTCTCCCCAAAGTCAACACCGACACCGACATTCCCTCACGCGACTCAGACTCCCCGGCGCTGATATACGTACATACTTCAAGCCGACTCCTTTACTCCCAACAACCAAGCACCCAAGCACCCGAGCACTCAACCCTATAAAGGGCCAGCATATAACAGCAGATACCACAATCGGCAGTGTACGAGAAGAAAAAAAAGTCCTGCCATCCAGTATCACCGCCATGAGCACGCAGCACCAATTATAGGAACACAAGACTCGGTCTCGAGGGCCATTGAGCTAACGAACGTTGGCTGAGGTAGTAGCATAGGGTCCGACGTTGCTCAAGACAGGAGAACCATACGAGGATGGCACATCAATATGACGAAGATATTTCGCCAATGACGAGTAATCCACGTTTTGAATTGCCCATTCATGCATCACATCCAAATGGCTCTGCCACTGCCCCTTTACGACAGTCTGGACTGCGAATGGTAGCTGATCCTGATGGGGGTCAAAGGAAAATTGAAGCATCCCACCCTCTCTCTACGATCCCGAACGGTAGCAGCTCAAGCAGACCCCCAAGCGAAGCCCAGGATTATCTGAATGGTGGAATACCACACGAAAATGCAAGACCCAAATCGTCCTCCGAATTCAAACAGTCCGCCCTGAAGGCCCCTCAGCTTCCCTCCAATGATGGTGGTACTTTGACACCACCTGCGCGCAGGAGTGTCCAGTTTGCCAGGTCGGATTATGGCTCTGAAGGGCTGGGGAATCATAACAGGACTGGGTCGTGGGTAGGAGCAATGGAAGATGGATCAGAAACACCAGGTCGGGACAAACGAGGACAGTCTTTAATCTCCAAATTGAAAGCACTCGCTACCACCGGAGGACTGCAAACACATAGCAGGAACCAGAGCGTGGAAGATACCACGCCAGCTGGTACCACTCCACTCTCTGCAGGTTTCTCTGAACGTACGCCTAATAGGCTTCCACACACATTACATGAGGAGGGTGAAGGCAGTGATGCAGATGCAGAGGAGACTGCTGATGAAGGAGATACCAATGATGCAGCGAGAGGGAAGCGGAAACGACGCATTCGGAGGCCCTATCAGAGCCAGAGTGTCAGCCAAACTGCCCAAACTGCTCCAAACACCCCAAGGACGCGCGCAATGGGACAAGCCGAATCTCCGGGTGCTTCGAGTAGACCTTTCCCATTGTTTGGTCGACGAGCAACGGATGGGTCCTTGGAGCATCGAGGCCATCTTTCCGAGGGAGAAGGACGAGACAGACTCGGTGGTGGGCCCAGTGCCTGGCGCCGTGGGAGCTCCTGGATACGTAGTAGTCAATCCGGTTCTCATATCGCTGATATGGATGGCACACCTTCGGGGCGAAGGCCGAGTAACTTTAGACGTGCATTGTCAGGAATGGGCGGCCAAAGTGACGGAGACACACCCGCACCCAGAAGACCTTTCCTACGAGCAGAGCGTGCGACAACATTTGGTGCTCAGCGATGGCGGATAATCAAGCATTCAATTAAGCTCCTTGGACAAAAGAAAGAGGAGCACAGGGTCGATTATCTCAAATCCGCCGAGTTGATGGCCGAGCTACGTGCTGGTGCTCCAGCAGCTCTTATGCTTGCAAGTATGATTCAGCGAGACGAACACGGCAACAAGCGAATACCGGTTCTCCTCGAGCAACTCAAAATACGCCTCACGGAAAGCAAACCCAGTATCGATGACTCTCACGAGAATGACCGACATCTTGTTTTTAAAATTGAACTAGAGTATGGCAGTGGTCTGAACCGAATGAAATGGAACATACATCGATCGCTTCGAGACTTTGCAGAATTGCACATGAAATACAAAATTCAAAGCCGTAGCGACAAGTACATTCTTCAGAAAGGCGACTTGGGTGCCAGGCCTAAGCAACCGCGATTTCCAAAGTCTGCATTTCCTTACTTCAGAGGAGCTCGTGGATATGGAGAATTTGGAGAAAGTGACAGCGACGAAGCTGATCGAATTCCAGGCGACGAAACCGCTGCGGAGGCAACTGCGGCAGAGGGGACTGCGGCAGAGGCATCAAACAGCGAGCAGGAACGGACGACGAAGAAGAAGAAAAGACGTGCGTCTCTAGGAGGCGGTTTACGTCGAAAGACCAGTATGCTTGTTGGAGGCGGCGACGGTGCTGCGGGATCTGTCATAGCCAGTGGTCAACAAAGTGCTCAAGCACGGTTATATAATGAGAGACAGAGGCGCAAACTGGAGCAGTATCTGCAAGAAATGATACGATGGCTCATCTTCCGAGCAGATAGCAATAGGTTGTGCAAATTCTTGGAGTTATCCGCCATGGGAGTACGTCTTGCAGCAGAGGGTAGTTACCACGGAAAGGAAGGTTTCTTGACTATCATGAACGTGAAAGGCATGGACTTCAAGCATATGCTGATGACGAGAAGCTTTCGCAATCCCCCAAAGTGGTTCCTCGTACGCCATAGCTACGTTGTTTGCGTTGAGTCACCGGAGAATATGCAGATTCATGACGTATTCCTAGTTGATTCAAAATTTGAGCTCCAAAAAAAACGACGTAAGATTAAGGAGGGTGGTGGAAAAGATCTAATGGACGAACCAGAGATGTCAGCAAAGCATTCGCAACACCATACTCTAAAGCTACAAAACTCGGAACGAAAGATCAGACTTGGGGCAAAATATGAAAAGCACATAAGGCAATTCGAGGAATCTTTGGAATTCATGCTAGATAATACACCTTGGGCAAAAGAAAATCGCTTCGGGAGTTTCGCTCCTGTAAGAACCGGCGTTGCGGCACAATGGCTTGTAGATGGCAGGGATTACATGTGGAATGTCTCCAGGGCTATAAACATGGCCAAAGATGTCATTTATATCCATGATTGGTGGTTAAGTCCTCAACTATACATGCGAAGACCGGCCGCAATCAGTCAGAAATGGCGTCTGGATAGATTGCTTCAACGTAAAGCCCGAGAGGGAATCAAGGTTTTCATCATCATTTACAGGAACGTCGAAGCAGCAATTCCTATCGATTCTCAGTTCACCAAGATCTCGATGCTCGACTTGCATCCTAATATTTTCGTCCAGAGATCCCCTAATCAATACAAGAAGAACCAATTTTTCTTTGCGCATCATGAAAAATTATGCATTGTTGATCATACGATTGCCTTTGTTGGTGGCATAGATTTATGCTTTGGTCGTTGGGACACTCCCCAGCACTCTGTCGTGGATGACAAGCCAACAGGATTTGAGCAGTCTCATCTGCCAAAAGACGCCGATAATTGCCAATCGTGGCCCGGAAAAGACTACTCTAATCCACGAGTTCAGGACTTTTACCAACTCGACGAACCCTACGCGGAAATGTATGATCGAAGTAAAGTACCTCGTATGCCTTGGCACGACATCTCCATGCAGGTCGTTGGCCAACCTGCGAGAGATTTGACACGCCATTTCATTCAGAGATGGAATTACGTTCTTCGCGGCAGAACACCTACCAGGCCGACACCCTTCCTGCTTCCTCCTCCTGACTACGAGACTCTTGACCTCGAAGCTTTGGGCCTTAATGGTACTTGTGAAGTCCAAATCTTGCGGTCTGCTTCGGACTGGTCCCTCGGCTTGACCGAGACTGAACATAGCATAATGACTGCTTATTGCAAAATGATCGAGGAATCAGAGCATTTTGTCTACATGGAAAACCAGTTCTTCATCACCAGTTGTGAGACGATGAACGTTAAAATCGTCAACAATATTGGTGATGCCATTGTGGAGCGTGCAATCAGAGCCGCCCAAAACAACGAGAGATGGAAGTGTGTTATTCTCATTCCTCTTATGCCTGGTTTTCAGAATACTGTTGATGAACCAGAGGGCACCAGCGTTCGACTCATCATGCAGTGCCAGTTCCGAAGTATTTGCCGTGGAGAAGGTTCCATATTTGGTCGTCTGAGAAGCGTAGGCATCGACCCAGAGGATTATGTGCAGTTCTACAGCCTTCGAACGTATGGAAGAATTGGTCCAAAGAAGACTCTTGTGACAGAACAACTGTATATTCACGCCAAAGTTATCATCGTAGACGACCGCATTGCATTGATCGGTTCCGCCAACATCAATGAAAGATCCATGCTGGGTAACAGAGACTCGGAAACTGCTGCTGTAGTTAGGGATACTGATATGATCTCATCATACATGGCCGGGAAGCCCTATCTTGTTGGCCGATTCGCCCACACATTAAGAATGCGCCTTATGAGAGAGCATCTCGGTCTCGATGTTGACGAGATTATGGAAGAGGAGCGGAGGGAGGAGCTTGATAGAGAAGAGGAAGTAGACTCGTATGAGTCGAGGATGAATGATATTTACGACAGTGATGACTCCGATCTGGGCCCTGCCAAGCCTCGTATGCCACGCCGCCGTGACCGCGATTCACACATTCTTGCGCCAGACAGAATTCGAAGTTTCAAGCATAGCCATAGCCTGGATGACGACGATAGCCATGGCCACCATTCACATAATCCTAGAATGACAAATGGCAAGCAACCTCAGATCAATGAAGCACTATCTGGCTTTGATGGGAATAGAGATGGCTATTCGGTTACTGGTGAGAGTTCTGAAAATAGACGAGACCGCGATACGGTCTTGGTTGATGGTTACCGAGAAGTTCTCGTGACAGATATCTCTTCGGATGGCAAAGGAACTCTCGAGCATCCTAAAAAGCAACATCTTCGAAGCTCTCCGCCTCGGGCGCCATCCAGTGCAGGTGGAAAGGACACTGATGACTTACCGCCGATGCCTCGTCTACCAAGAAGAACTACTGAGCAATTAGGACTCCCTCAATTGTCACAGCTACCTGCTCTCCCATCAAGTGACGATACGGATATTGGAGGACCGCCAATCCATATTGATGCTTTTGGTAACGCAGGACCGCGCCCGTTTAATCCGTTAACTGCAGACATCAAACAGGCTCCGGTCGACAAGGATTGCATGCGTGATCCTCTCAATGACGATTTCTTTGAGAATACTTGGAGATTGATGGCAGAAAACAATACCAAGATTTACAGACGTGTCTTCAGGTGCAATCCAGACACTGAAGTACAAAGTTGGCATGATTACACTGGGTACGTTGCTTATGCTGAGAGGTTTGCTCAAGCTCAGAGCGGTTCCAAGAGCACAGAAAGAGAAGAGCAGGAGGCCCCTGGAAAAAGCGGACCCCCAGGTTCGAGCATTCCTTTGGCTTCAGCCTCTGGGATTGCGGCAGGGTTGAGCAACCTCAGCGAGAAAGTGAAGCCAAATGGAGACGAGAGTCATCCACCGGGATCTGCTGCAGACTGGGCCGCGGACTCTCAGAAGAAGCAGAGAGAACGCAGTGGCACTGTTGGCTCTCGTGGTTTGAACCTTGATGGCCAACCTGACGGCTTCAGTGAAAAGGAGGGTGTCCGAAGAACTTCAATTGATGCCTCAGATCCGAATGTCGGAAACGAATCATTTCCACCTTTTGAGACGACTCTCAGTCCTCCAGCCGAGAACGAGAAGCACGGAAGCACAAGAAAAACCACATTCTCTTCCGCGCCTCCTCCAGAACGCCCTAGTTCGAATCTTGGTTCCCAATCCCAAGCGAACCAAGGTTCCGTCAAGAAACGTCGCCGTGGAACCACCAAAAGCACCCGAAGGGGCTTTTCGGCGAGCGATGGCCTCTTGAGTATGCCCGATGTCGAGGAATTGTTGAGTCTAATTCAGGGCCACCTTGTTCTATTCCCATATGATTGGCTTGTCAAGGAAGAACTGAATAGTAACTGGCTTTACCAAGTCGATCAAGTTGCACCATTGCAAATCTAGTAAGTGGACCTGAAGTTTCCTCTTCTTGAGGTTATCGCTAACGCTTCAACTAGTGACTAAACATTGAACGGCGAAATTTAAGCCCTTGTATATTTGTTGTTTTGATTATGGGACACAGAATAAAATGGAACTTGGAGCATTGCACAGCTTTGGGGTTCGGGGCGTACGTTTTTTTGGCCACCATATCGACTTTTGAATCCGCATCACTCACGGCGCTTTGGCCTGTTTTTACTTCGTTTTGCTGGGGCGGACAATTGTATTCACACATTATTAGTTCTATTGTATACACTGAAATGATACATATTTATACACAAGGTTGCTGACCTATCTAACTCTTCGGTATATTCTTACAACATCTCTGTCATGAACGCTCCGTAACCCAAATAGCCCCTCTACATCCTGCTCTTATTATTTCGGTAAGTAATTCGTGAGGCACCGCCTTCTGCGCATCATTCTCCACAGCATGATCCAAATGCTCCAACTCCTCATCCCGTATCCTCCTAATATTCTCCACCAGTTCCCTCAAATCACTCCCCACCTCCTCGCCCTTACTCTCCATCTCATGAATCATATCCCGCAGAACCCTAACCTGTTCATTATAATGACTCCCTATCTCCGTCTCCACCGCCTCCGTACACGCCATTGCAGCTTCCTTCCCCATCAGCGCGGTTCCCCAGCCTAATGCGGTCGCGGCCAGGGACCAGATTGGGTACATGGCTGTGGGACGGATGCGGTGTTTTGCGAGGAGGGTGTTGAAGGTGCGGAAGTGAGAGGCTTCTTGGGCATACATGTGGGCCATTAAGGGACGCAGGTGGGGGTGGGAGTTGGTGAGGGGGGGTGTTTGTGCGGTGTAGATTAGCGTTGCTGCTAGTTCGCCGGCTTGATTTACTCGTAGCTTTTTTGTTTGCTGGTCAATACTGGTGATGAAGGGGGGAGAGGGGTGGGACTCACTGCTTTCGTGAGGAAGTCTTTTTGGGCTTCTGTGAGGGGTTCGGAGGGGTTGGGGGAGGGGCTTGATTTTGTTCTGGGTTCATTTTCGGGATTTGGAGTTTGAGGGCTTTTNCTGCTTTCGTGAGGAAGTCTTTTTGGGCTTCTGTGAGGGGTTCGGAGGGGTTGGGGGAGGGGCTTGATTTTGTTCTGGGTTCATTTTCGGGATTTGGAGTTTGAGGGCTTTTCGTGTCTGCGGTAGAATTGGGAGGTGCGTCGTTGTGAGGAATTGCGGAGGTGAGGCGTGTGGCGTTTGAGAAGTTGTGAATGGGGCGATTGATTTGAGCTTGACGGGTGAAGCTTGGGATGAGGAAATCGTAGAGGGGTGACTGGACTAATAGGCGCGCAGATGCTTTACAAGAGGAGAGAGTCATTGTTGGAAAGGTCAATTGTGTTATGCGCTTTGCAGACAATAGTATACAGAGTTTCGAAGTTGATATTGTGTCGCAACAAATTCATGACGCTATCTATTGCAGGTGAGGTTGCCGTGGTTGCACAAGAGTCGGCGAAAGTAAGCCCCGGACCCGCATAAATATTCTCCATTAGGCTAGTGAATTCAAGATGAACTCCTTACAACCCAGCCTCCAGCCACCACCTGGGCAGCAACGCAACTTTATCAACCTCTCCCCTCCAGCTCTACTTCTGTCTCAACTTCAACTTCTTTCCTTCGCAACGTACGCTACATCCAATACCACTTTATTCGCAAAACTCACACCAAATACCTGAACAGAAGCTCGCGCATTTTGTGCATACCTAAACCAAGCAAATAATCGATACGTGCTCGTACTGAGCAAACCGCGTCCCAAAATCTAATCGCAAAACTTTTCGTATCTCCCCAAAAGACCTAGACTCCCGAACCAGAAACCATGGCGGATTCCGATATCGATGATGAGCTCCTCGCTCTCGCGGGAGACGCTTCCGAAGATGAAGAGGAGTCGGAGGCACCAAAGAATATTAGCAGAAACAACTCGGCATCACCCAACCGCCGCACATCAGGCAAGGCAGGTGCAAACAAGCTAGGCGGTCGAAAGAACAAGAGACGCGATGACTCGGAGGAAGAAGGTGAAGCGTAAGTGCTTACTCTCTCTTTGGTTGCGCATTGGCGATATCATCGCCTTTGTATCCGGTCGAGGATATGGCTTACACAGTATTCAATAGCTCATCTGGCGCATCGTCCCCTGATTCTCAACGCTCAGCACCTATGGATGAATCCGATTCTGACTCGGACACCTCTCCCATGGACGATGATGGCGAAGGATACCCGCTCGAGGGCAAGTTTAAGGATGCTGCGGACAAGGCTGAAATCATGGCCATGCCTGAGATCAAGCGTGAGGAATTGCTAGCAGAACGAGCCGGAGAAGTCGAGAAGAGCAAACAAAACCGAGTTTTGCGCCAGTTACTTAAAAGTCGCGAGGCTGAAGCCAAAAAGGTGGACAAGAAACGAAAGGCCAGCGCTGCGAATTTGGATGGAGATAATCGAAAGACCGCCCGTCAAAGAACCAAGATTGGCGGTGGCAAGGTTGGAGAGGCAAGTAGCGGAATTGATAGATATCGACGCGAACGAGCCGAGAAGAGTGAGCGACAACGTCGACGAGAAGAGGACAAGCACCATGATGAACCACGCAGAAACACTCGCGGCGACTACTCGGACCATGATAGTGATAGAGATAGCGAAGTTGAATGGGACACTGGCAAAACAGCAACCAAGAAGCGAAGCATTTCACCTGATTTCAAGAATGCAGAGCCAGCTGGCCTTCAAGATGTTGAACGGGTCAGAGTTGGTCGGTCGAGATTTGCTTTGGTCTGCTTCTACCCTGGATTTGATGAGGCTATTACTGGATGCTTTGCTCGAATCAGCGTCGGAATGGACAAGGAAACTCGTCAAAACATTTATAGAGTTGGACTCATCAAAGGTATGTGTTCTGAAGGCTTGAATGGTTCTAATAGATGCTAACTGCCTGCCAAGGCTTTGTTGAGGATAAGCCATACGCTGCGGAATCTGCAAATGGAAAGCCTTTCTTGACTACCCAATATGTTCGGGCTGCGCATGGAAAATCAGAAAGAAATTGGCCGTTTATTGCTTGCTCCGATTCTCCCTTTACGGAGGTTCGTTCATCATGAGGGCTAATATCATAGTCTTTACTAATTTCTTTCATAGGCTGAGTGGACCCGATACACAAAAACTTGCCAGGCCGAAGGCATACCTCTTCCAACAAAACCAAAGCTCGCTCAAAAGATCCTTGACATTAACGCACTTGTCAATCGCTCCTGGACCGAGGAAGAACTACAAGCAAAATTGAAACGATCTGGCGTTTTGGTCAGCAAATTCAACCCCATTGAGCGCAAACGCCTCCAAACCGAGATTGCAGAAGCAAAATTAGCAAAGAATTACGAAAGGGAGGAACAATTACAAAAGGAACTCGATGCTTTAGACGGACCCAAACTCGCTTACAGCACATCATTGCAACCATCCCCTGCCAAGACCCCTGCCAAGCAAACCCAACAGGAGCGACTCGCAGTCCTAAACAAACAACATCGGCGCGAAAACGCCGAAAAAGTACGACAAGCTCAAATTGCTGAACGCAAGAAGATCAAAATGGCGGAAGCGGCAGCAGCTCGTGGCGAAGTAGTCGTCGAAGACCACTCGAGACGAGTCCGAACAAACGCCAAGTTCAAGCATGATGTTGCGGATACACATAAGAAGACAGATAGCGCTGGCGCTAGTGGCGCGAACACGCCATCTCAGGGAACGCCAAAACTTGGACCGAAGCAGATTTCTGGGGGCTTACCGCTGCAGTGGAAGAATGGTCAGGGAGAGAATAAACAGAAGAATGGGCTGCCTAGTATTCGGAGACCACTCATGGACGACGACATCATTGGGGCTATTGATCTGGGAATTGATCTTGAACTTTAGAAGAGAAAAAAAAGGGACTTGTGAGATAGGAATGTTAGATGAGTGTAGGATGGGACGGATGAGAGGGGGTATGAAGGAGGGGGGAATTTGATGATACCTGGTACGATAGAGAGCTTATTTTACTTTTACTTTTTTTTTTGGCTCCGGCTGGACTTTGCTTTGCAAGTCAAGGCAAGAAGCAAGTTTCTCGATGGATGGATGTGGCAAGGTGCGAGACTTGAAATGGATACGCGTGGCATCAGCATCGTGGGTTAGTTAGTGAGAAATGCGGTTTACTTGCTTCCATCTGTGCCGGTTGAGAGAAATTTCTTTCATTCGCTGGTGTGTAGAAATGAATGAATCAAGAGATCAAACCCTGGTCGTTGGAATCATATCTTGTTGATCTTCCTATTGGTTGTGTGATGTTTTTATATGTATTGCATGTGGTTTGTGTTTTGGTGGAGTTAACGTCACGAGTACTTGTAGCGTTTGCTGTACTGGTTGGTGTCGGGTTGGGTGGTAAGGAGGGTGGTGGGTTGGTTGGGGAATAGGGAATAGGGATATAGGGGTTTAAGCGAGGATTTTTCTGTGTGAGAGGCACGTGAGAGGGTGGTGTGGTGCGTTTCCGGGGTTCTGTGGTTTTGAAGGGTGTGGGCTGGGTGCTTCACTGTGAGTGAGGCTTGTGTTGTAGTGTGTGTACCCGGTACTGATTGGTGAATCTGAGGAGGAATGAATGGTAGGTGAGTGATTTGTGGGTTTGGGGGGTGGGAGAAGAGGGGAGTGAATTACATTGCATGGGATTGATGGATGGAGGTGGAGTTTCTTGGGGTTTCTGGGGGGCTGTGGGATGGGTTTGAGGTCTTGTGGTTGAGTTATAGAGGAAGGATAGGTTTAAAGGAACGAGATGGGCAAATAGGCGTGATGATGATTGACATTTCAGTCTTAGGATTGGAAGGTTGGAAGTTTGTGGGGGTGGGGTAGGGGAAGGAATGGTGATGGGATAGGAGATGGTAATTTGACTTGTTTTTTGTAAGGGGACGTTTGTACTTCTACTCTATGAGTCTTTTGTGGGAGTAGTGTTGTTGTGGTAGGAATAGATGTGTGAAGTAGGGGAGAATAGTATGTCTTCGAAGGGTAAGAGGGGGGAGAGAAGACGGGATATTGTTGGGAAGTGGTGGAGTTGTTGTTTTGTGGTTCGTTACTTGGGTGTTTTGGGATATGTTTTAAAGTTAGAATGTTGGGTATGTATGTATGTATATAGCTTTCTACTTCCAGCCCCCTTTTTGTGGATGTGTTGTAGCACTGTATTTTACTAAGCTTAAGCAACGTTCGGCATCTGGAATTCCTTTCCATTCCAGACCCCCCCTCTAAAATAATTCTATTCCTTTTAGGATTTAGCTGGAAGTATTCCGTTCTATAGGTATATATTCTATAGATTTTCTAGATTTTCTAGCTAGAATTTGTTATATGACCCGGAAAATTGTCCTTTTACTCCGGCAGACTAATAGGAAGCTCGCATTTTATATAAGACTAGTAGGGTATCTAGGTACGTGCTAGGACATACTATATAAAGCCCCTAGATTATATAGTAATATAGAAAGTCTTTAATCCTAATCCTTCTATAGTTAATTACGAAGTAAACTTAACTATCCCTTACTCCGTAACTCCCTGGGAACTGGTAGGCAGAACGTCCTAATTCGGTTTAGCAAGTGGCATTCTAACATTTTTGGCGAGCTCGATTAGCGGGAGTAATAAGGCCAAACCTATTTGGGACGTTCTGCCTACCAGTTCCCAGGGAGTTACGGAGTAAGGGATAGTATTTAGCTACTACCTAGGTAGTCTTCCTATTTACTTAGATATAGTATATAATAATTATATCTTATTTACTTAAAACTACTATAGCCCACCATAAACCTTACGTTTTAGTTAGTTAGAAAAAGCCTCTGGAATTCTATGGAACGTCTAGAATTCTAGATACTAATCCATAGAAGGATTCTATTCTATTTTATACGTGCTCTAGAAGTATTCCATATAGAATATTCTACCTGGAATTCTATGGAATATGGTTCTATTTGCCGAACGTTGAGCTTAAGGGGTAGTGAAAGATATGCTTTCTGCTTCTCAAAAGTAATGCTTTCTAGGTTTTCGGGACGACCTCTTGAGCTCTTGAAGTAGAGAAAGAGGCTACGGAAAGCTTTCTTGATTGACAGGCACTTTATTGTAAAGTTTATGTGGAAAGGGAGCGAAGCTATGTCTAACAAAGTAACATGTGATGATTTTCAGATTATTTTAATTTGTAGATAGTGGATGGAAGTATAAGGCGCTTAGATATTGGTGTTAGTAGATAGAGGGCAGTTGTAAAAGAGAGAAGGTGGATTTAGATTTTCATGTTATTTGTGAATTAATTTGGTATTTAATCCACTGTTTTATGTTTTCTTGGAATCTAAGGGGAGAGTAGTTAGTATTTTCATTAGGGAAGGAAGAGTGAGATGTTGGTGTCCGAGTGTAGGTTTGCTTTTACTAGTGTAGAGGTAAAAGACTAGGGCCGTTTCAACGTCAACGTCAGTGTCCAATACTGTGCTGATTATATCAAAGTTGGTACTCCTTTTCTACTTACTTGTGATGTAAGTCTGTTAATATAGTAACTCTTTGATAAAGAAAGATAGACTTTCCAAATTTGTCAGAGGAGAAGAGGAGCTTCTAAGTATTCTGCGAAAGAACTGTGAATTATGATCTAAACATTGAAGATCAGCGTGAATTGCTTGTATCTGTGACTTATATCAGTAGCTAATTAGATCCATTATTTGTGACCTTTCTCACCTTCAACTAAGCCATCTTCTTAAAGTCTCTTTGACAATACCAGATAACTCATCCCCAAAAACCAGCACCCAACAAAATCAAACCCACAACACCAAAAATGTCTCATCCTCAACTCCCCCCAAACGTACATTTCTCCTTCCCCATCCCTCCTTCCCCCCTCCCACAAACCAACAACTAACACCCCCCAGCCCCTCCTCTTCAAACCCCTCCTCGCCAGCCTCCTAATCGCATCACCCTACCTAATCATCAGTCTCCTCCCCCGCCAACCCCGTATCGCACACCAAGACTACGGCCACCTCTTCGACGCAGCAACTCTATTCAGCTATTTCCTCCTCTTCCCTTTCTTGTGTGCCATGGCTGGGTATGGGATGCCTGGTTTGGTGGAGATGCAGGTGTATTGTGCGTTGGGATTGGGGGTGCTCTTGGGGTTATTGTTGGGTTTTGGGATGTGGAGCGTGTTGATTAGGGAGGTTGGGAGGTGGGCTTTTGATGGGTGGGTGGTGATTTGGATGCTGGGGGTGATGTATGTGGTATGCTTGTATGGATGCTGTGGGGTCTTAGCTAGGGGGTTTATGTGCGGTTTCTTGTGGGGAGAGCGGGCAGGGAGTTTTTCTGTTGCTAATGGAGTTGCTGAGCTTGTAGCCCATTTGGGAGAGATTCGGGATCAGGAAATGGAGAAGAATGGAGCTGGGCACTGACTAATGTAATGGGAGAAATCGCATTCTTGTATCTAATCCAGACATCGACAACTATTACTATATTACAACAGTAACGTACACAACCCTCTAAAAATTACTCACTTGTATGAGTTTACTTCTTAAGAGACATCAACCCCCAAAAATACGTTCATTTCTAAATCCCACATGAACTTCAGAACCCCTCTTCTTACACCTACAGTATCACTTCCCAAAAACCCATCTCTATCAAACTTTCCAACCTCCACACCCTCTCCCAAACCCTATCTTCACACCTGCTTTGACAGGCACGGCTGATATTGATTTTCTTAGAGAAGCTTTTAATAATTTATTCCACAGAGGTTAGAGTCTAGAACTGATAAGCTTTCAAGATCTGTGTTTTCAGAGAGATGGAGGTTTAGGCGGGGTTCAATAGTAGAACCTAATCTAGGATTCTATATGATTATCGAAATTGTATTTACGCGATGGCTATGGAATTTTTCATTTGGAGGTGTATCTACTTTGATGTGCAAGTACGCGGTAAGGGGTGGTGAAAACTTTCTCGCTTAGGCTTCGGAAACTTTGTCTGTATGTAGATGTATTACATCACTAATATACGAAGCATCCGTCCTTTCCATACGTTCTTTTTGTTTTTTGAAGAAGAAAAATGTCAGTTGGGTCAACTTGTTTCGGTATCCATTCGAGGTTGTAACATCTTACCTACAGCATTGAACAAGTTAGGCAACAACAAAAACTTCTGCAGATACCTCGTGCAAGTGCAAGGCATTGGCTTACTCTGAGGAAGACATGATCATCTTGTTGTATGTGGATGTCTGATCACGATATCGTATTTTGACCTTGCTTTACAAAGCAGGATGTCACGATAAATCCCACTCGTGTAATCTTATTTGAATTTAGACCTACTTTGTACTCGCATCCTAAATATTCGGAGGCTTCTACTTCTTTAACCAGAATTACAATCAACTATTTACACCACTTTTACTTCTTGTATTCCTTTGCTTGTTATCACTTGATATTTACAAACCAATAAAGAGCAACATATCATAACTGACTTCCTTGACACGCAGTACTGAGGTTAATTAGACATGAAAGCCACCTGGATTAAGAAATCACATTTATTATTTTGAATATGTTAAAAGGGTGAATGGATGATTGAAGCCATTATTAAAGAATATGTAACAAGAGAAAAACATGTAGTAATGTGCTGATCTATAATAGAGGGATGTTGGCGATATCTTTTGTTGACTGACGATGTCTTGATCCTTTGGGTATGACGAGCAGTAGAGTAGTCTCTTGCGATTCAAGTTTTATCAAAGCTAGACAGTATGGGAATTTTTACAGCAGACAAGAAAAAGAGGCACCCTTTGAATGTTTAGAATTGGGTTCACAAGTAGGTATTTCTGAGGGAAATATCATTTAGGAGAACTTCATTTTTAATGCAGCGATGCCTGGTACCAGGAAGTTTGAGGTTTCTTGTAGATTTGGATATAGAACGTGACTTAGCATACAATCCTACACGGCAAGAACGTATCAATCTGATAAATCTACATTGGGATTTCTATTCTCCTCCATGAACCCGTACGAACAAGTGATATTGAGAGGAATACGGCTTTACGAGCGACGATACCGTGAGAGATAGAGTTTACTATTCCTTGGTCTGTTTGACGATTATACGACCAATTCAGGTGACACGAAATATCGATCAATCTGCCAAATTTATTAATAGCGTATAGGATAAACGGATAAGATGACGACGAAATGTCTAAGACTGAGGATCCGACATCCTTGCGGAGAGGTTCTGCTATTTCGGAAATGTTCCAGAACACCTACCAAGAGCTCTCCCCAAGCAAGGACAAGAAAACCAAAACCCGACGTTATGGACACTCCGAAACTAACCCGTGTCCAGGTTCGTCAGATGATTTGTGGGATGTGTGCTATGTATATCATGGTGCGTCGAGATGATGGGACGCGAATTCTGATGTTGCGTATACTGTACACTTCAAACACTTAATCTATGAGGTTCTATGTTGATTAGCTTTACTCAGCCCGTAACCTTGGGATGAAGACGCACACTGCTCGCAAGGCCACCAAAATGGCAGGAGCAACGAAACAACCAGAAGAAAACCAAAGTGTGTGGTCAGCATTCCATCTAAATCCTGACGGCATGTACGAATCTGCATTATCTAAGCATAAATTGCCTTTCCGAAGGATTGTCACAGCTCATTTGCATTGGACTCGGTTAACCGGCTGATATGGAAGCGGGATTCGGAAAATGCGCCCCTTGCACACACTGGCTGGCTCACCCAACATTTGCTCAAGACCGGTAGCGAGCCGGAACTCCTCACGGTCGATGGAATACTAGTAATCCGTACTGAGTGGATGAAAAGTGAGTTGACAAGTTTGACATGAAAGTGAGACACAAACAGAAGAAGGGATCCGTCTGACCAGAAGATCTGTTCACTTGAGACGAGGAGAACGAAGCATCGTGATCTTTTCTCTTTGGGATTACACGGAGTGTGTGGTTCGCCCTTATGGTAAACAAAGGCAAGACTACGCAGGAGATGTCGCTACCCAGGAGCACTCCGTACTGCAGGGTAATTGTTTGACTTGAAGAGGCTTCCATCTTTTAGAGCTCCAGCTTCCTTATTATTACACGTGATGAGGCATCTCTACCTAAGGTTTCACTAGACATCGGATGAAGAGGTCCTTGACGAGGGAGAAAAAAGGTGAGTAAACAAGACACTTCGAGACACACAGACGCTAGTAAAAAGTGTTTGATAGTTTACAGTAGCGTCCAGTATTCAGGGAGCGCTCAGCCGTGTGTCTGAGTTCGGTCGGTTTGATGGCGACTTGACCATTCATCGTGCTCATTCTTGCTAGCTCTGCTCGCCGTCGACTCGTCTGTGCTGGCGTGCTGGCGTGCTGCGGGCGTGGTGTTGGCGTGTTCTGTGATCTCCCACGGTGGGAGGTGGAGGTGGAGCGAAAGAGGCGTGTGGCTAGATACCGTACGCGGGCTCAGCGGGGAGTGGCACCGTGGCACTGGCAGAAGGCATGAACCTGTGCCGTCTCGAACTCGTCACCTGTCACAGGAAGCGATGAAGATGGGTTGAAACCGGTGTGGCCAGGGCTGCTACAGACAACCCTCCCATCGGAGGATATTTGGCCATGATGATGTTTAAGAGTAAGCGTTTGGAGCTTGGGGTTGGGGTGAACCCGGTGCTGATGATGGGCGATCTTGGGTGGCAGTGCAACACCCCAGACCCTGCCCCGCTACAACTGTATAGTACGTAGGTACGAGTACTCGAGTACACTTACTACGCTCCGGCTCCGTACCGTAGACCCAGGCTCGGCTCTCCCAGAAAAACAGAAAAACTGATGGTGGGTGCTGGAGCCATGGCGGTGCGGTGGTGAGCAAAGGTCAGAAAGAGCAGACGACGATGACCTCTAAAGGTGCTGATAGAAGCTGAAACACGGAGTTTCTGCCTGTGTACTGCACAGCCAAAGTATTCTCCGTTCCGTATTTTGGCAACTCAATCGCTGCTGAGATAAGCTGTGATGCTCATTGCTTTCGACGGAAACATGCGACGACACATCTACTGTACTGTACTGTACTGTACTGTACTGTACTGTAACAGTACTGTAGAAGTACGAGTACCTACAGGTATGATTTGAAGATACTTTGACAAAGCTGGCCACCACAACTTCCGCTTTGGACAACTAAATCAGTTGATGTCCCTCGATAACCCAGCAAACTTCGGTATTCGTATCCATGTGAGCCGTGTTGACAGCCGTACCTGGACCTGGGACTGGAACTGGAGGTCGCGAATCTTCAATGGAAAGAAAACAAAAACACGTGACCAAAATACCCAAGGTGTCCAGTCTTGCGGTCTTGACAGCTGGAGGAGCCTACAACATGACATGCAGTGGAGTGACCATGGTCAAGCTACGACCAAATCAGTCCAGTCCATCACTACAAACAAGCTTCAACACCACCCACCACATTACCACCACCACCACCACCACCACCAACTCAATCTCACCGCTAGATGCCCCTACTCGATCAGTATTCGGTCGAGAACGGGTGCTAGAAGCCTTCCAGATGCGCTTGCGGGACCCTACGACCAGAACCGAGGCGGCGCTGCACTGCACTGTAATGGAGCTGCCAAGCATCGGAAATCGTCCCAGCGATGTAATTCTATTCTGAGGTGTGGTATGGCGCGCCTTACTCTGCCTCACTTGCCACAACCCGATGAGTCCACGCAAGCCAGACTGGCGCAGTTCACGATTCATGCTTTGCCCTCGCCTGGTCCCTTTTCGCTCATCGATGAGGTCAGAAAGTTCCGATGAGATGAGGAAACGAAAAGTCTCAAGGTTGTCGAATGAAATGCATAGATGAGCTGGCAGCTTGCACCAGAAAAGCTGTGCAAGCAGCGTGAGTTTTTCGGCCGCAGGCTTTCAGCAGACCTCGCCCGGCCACGCTCCCTATCTTTGATCGTGTCGTAGGCTCAAGTTACTCTACATGCCAGAAGTACAGGCAGAGCTACACTACGCCTGTCACACGCCGTGGACACGCGGCAAAAAGCGACCTCCTTCCCCCTTTTCCACGCTGAGTATTGACAACAGTCATATAATTTCCATGGAAGCGACACACCAGCAGCAACCACACTGCAAGCACTTTCGGCATCCCAACAGTGCCATGCAGATATGCAAAGACCTGCAGCAAAGGGGCAACTACCGAAGCATTGCTCTATTTTGGCTGCACCCCTCCGCTCGATCCACCGCCGTTTCTCATGCCACCAGATCCTTCAAAACCCTGGGATCAAACATATTCCCAGGAAACAGATAGTAGTGAGCAACATCCAAACGAGGAAAGCTCTATTTGTTTGGCCCCTGCAAGGCCCTAGGCTCGACCCCGATGCTCGCATCGGTGGCAACGGCTGCATTTCCCTTCGCTAAGCTGTAAATTTTGTTTTGCGTGTCGGCACCAGGTGGAGTGTCATTCGTGATTCATAATAACTCAGTTCCCTGGTGCAGATCATCCGCTACACCCATTCCCGATCATTTCTGGAGCCCAGGGTCAGTTCAGATGAGAAAGTAGCTTGAGATCTTCGCCCGGGGGGGCTGGCACTGACCCTAGCAGCCCGCTTCCTTGAGAGGCTAGCGGAGATAAAGGGAGACATCTGGTTCGTGGATGGTGTTCCAACATGCTGGTTTGCTTTCAACATGACGCCGAAAAAGGGACCAGCCGTGATGGGCCCGGTGGACCCAGCCCTCGAACAGTGTGGGGAATATTAACATCAAACACGGGTCGAGTATCCTTCCTGGCATAATCAATGCACTATGCATCGCGACACACAACGGTCCCGTCCCTATCACAACCACAACCACCGCCCACCTGTTCTCTGGCCCAGTGTGGCAGAGAGGCAGAGAGCTAACCTTCTTCTTGCTTGCTTTGAATTTACTGTACGTACGTAGTTCTTGCCGGTCCCTGCCTCCTCATCTCCCCATTTTGGCATCTGTAGTGTTCATGTCGGTCGCCGTTCCGTTGTCTTCTCCACTGTCTTTGATATTCCTCTAACCGTCAGCCAAACGTGGTCAACACAATCCCTCATGCAAGCCCCCAAGCAGCCTCGCCCTGCCCTAGGGGTAGTCTAAATGGGCCCCTCGGTAGTCTTCGTCCTATCTTTCCATCTCTTGCCAAGTGGTTTCCGCATGTGGTTCAAAGGCTAGATTCACGTCCTTCATTCGTCAAATACGATTAAGAAGGTTCTGCATGCCGGATTCCTTGACCCGGATTTTCGCACCCGTTCATGATAAAGTGTGTAGACAATCTAGCTGAAGTCTGCTGAAGTCTTTTCATCCAATAACATTGTTTCCACCCGATATATCCAGGCAAGCAAACCGGCCGCAGTCAATGCTGCAAAGCCTCAACGTTTCGAACAGAACAAGACAAAGGCCCCCCAAATTTCTGACCTCGGCGACTTAAGGATCCGCTCATTGACCTGATATGGCGGATGTTTAAGACGAGGGTCACGATACATCTAGGTTCACCTCTCTGTTTCGACCGTTTCCGATCACGTCAAAGCATTCCCAGACTTCGATCCCACCCCACCTACATCCCTCCCAAGCTCCACTACCCGCAGACACTCAAAGACTCGAATAACCCTCAAAGCTAGACCCCGGAAGTTGATCTGAACCGAGTCCACAAATCAAGCCAGGCCAAATCAAGACTCCGGATCATCGACGGACCTGAAACAAGACAGTTCGATCATATAGGTTTCCTGTATACTTGTACCGTCCACCCATATTTCTTTCTTTAGTAAGTCCCGGACGACCAGTGCTGGATTCTGGAAGCCACATCTAATCTAGACGACCTCCAACATTCATCGACTGTTTAGATCTGGAGCTGGCTACTTTGGACTGTACTCTCGAGGAAAATACAATTTACGGAATTGGAGTCAATACCCTCAACAAACTTGGGTGGCAAGGAACATTAAGAAAGTCTAAGATTGTTATAGAGAGAGAGTCATCGCCATGGACGTGACTTCGTTATTGAACGCAGGCTCTCTGGCTGTAGAGCAGAAGAGATTGGAAGGTTTGAGAATTGGGCGCAGTCGAACACCATGGGACGCAGGGGGATACTCACTACCAATAACTACAAAGACACCAATTTCGCCGCCTAATCAACCACACCAAGACAATTATTTCGATGAGCGACCAATGGATGCACCGAGTTCGCCTAGACACAAACTCTCTGACAGTCGAAGCAGTCTCTCATCTTTCGCGTCTTCGATACAATCTACCACACACTCGAGGTTTTCCTCCATGTCTACAGCCAGTGGTTCACATTCCCTGAACACAATCACAGGCGAACTCATTTCTCCAAAAACAATGACGATGGAGCTGGCGAGTCCGTCTGTGACGAAGCCTCCGGAAGTAATGGCGCTCGATTCGCGACCAAAAGACGCAGGAATAGACGAAGCTTGTGAGATACTGGCGCCCATCGCAGAGAATCGACTTTCTCCAGAGGACTCAACGGAAGAACCAAATAAAGCTCACCTCGGTTACCCACGTCTCTCGTCCCCAAGCGATGCGATCCTCATCAAGCGGGCCTCAGTCCCGTCTCTACGGTTGGACACTCGCGAAGGCTCGTCCTCGGTGACGCCTCAACAATTGTAAGCAAGCCCTTTTCCATCAATGACATGTTTCTCCATAAGCACCCGAGTTGTTTCCGCCCAAAATGGGTCCTTTTTTTGTCAAAAAAGTTCAATACTTCTGGCATGAAACGCGACCAGTGGACGCGAAATGCGCGCAGAATCCACAGGATTCCGCATTCGTCTTGTCCACTGTATTGCCACCAAAAGAGCGAAAATGCTACTGAAAATCTGGGACTCGCCAAGTCTCCAAGCCTTTGACAGCGGCTATCATAAACACAAACGACTTTGCTTGAGTATGGTGATTGGGACGAGAGATAAACGCTCCGGTATTTTGAAGAAGGGGATAGCCTATGAATTACAAGGCAACTTGGAACCATACACTGGTAGCTAGCCCAAAACTTCTTCAAGGTACCAGAGTTGTGAATAGCCCCTAGGTTCTTCCTAGTCAAATATTGGGATTTGGCGATCTGGAATTAGCTGGCAAATCTTTTCCTTGCCAGAACTCCATTTCTCCAAATCATCCAAAATACTAAGAGGCTTTGGGACACGGGATGAAGTGTTTTTTGTTTTGCTGTTATGAATTTGACCTTTTTCTATTGCAACTTGCAAATGCTACTCAAATTCTTCTTCGCTATATCCACTAGGAATATTTCCATCATCAACATAGTCTTGCAGCTGTAGCATGGTTACGTTGGTGGGTGGGAAGACTCGCCAAGGTTTAGCCGAGGGTGTCAATAAGGGATCGTCTTTGGCAATGTGAAGAGACATTTGACAGCTTGATTCCAACTGAAATCGCTATGATATGTTGAAAACGATGAGTGGTTAATATCAATATCAGCTGCATGTATCGTTATGCAGTTGCGATTGATACTATTCAAAACCATCCAACGTAGTTGAGTCAGGGAATATATCGCTTCCTTCAAGGCCATTGAAGAGGGCGAAGTGGACCTACGCATACACGTGTCTTGTGCTCTGCTTAGATTTGACAGCCAGTAACGTTATTTTCTGGTCAACTGTTTTGGTGAATCTAAACGACAGATGTGCCTTGTCTGGCTCTTGACCCTGGCTGATTGTCGGTTCAACCTTCCTATATTGCATCAAGCTATTCAGCCAGCTGAAAAATTGTTTTATTTGCTTCTATCTCTTTCCCACATGGGTACACTTGTTTTTGCACCTCAACCAAGGCAATCTCAATCTCCTGTCACGTCATCGCAACCACGCAGTCCCATCGCAATACATCTGCGCAACAAGGTGTAAGCATTTCTTCCAACAGCCGTTCTCTAAACACAAATATGTCTGGCAACGCTATCTTCTCTTTTCCTTGGTCTGAATCAGGTTTTGCCAACTTCATCTTCGAGGGCATACCTTGGTAGCTCTTCTGGAACGTTGTCTACTCTCTCGCTCGTGGGCCACTCCGTCCCTCGATAGAGAAGTCTGAAGCTTGAGATGCCTAGTCTACTACAGTTGCAGTCGAGTCAAGGCTTATTGCTATTTTCTCTTTCCAGTCGTTTTTGAATTTGGCAGTGAATTGGATCTTATCTACTCTTGAGTGAGGGTTTGATGATTCACAAGTTCCTGTATGATTCACAATGGGCTCGTCATATAAGATCTCGCCACCTAGCTTTTCTCCACTATCTCTACCTTCAACCATACCATCTCTTCTTCAAACCAAGTCGCGAACAAGCTAATGATCGCTTCAGACACAGCCAGTACCTCAGCGCACCCCCCGAAAGCCATTATCAATCGCTCATCCATAAAAGCTCCCACAAGCGCAGTGCATCGGCACCTAACATCAAAGCAATTATGAGCGACTACCGAAGCGAACAAGCGGTCTCGGGGCATGCAACTCCTTCCTCGTACCATGAGCATGCGTCTACGCACAGCCCTCAACCTCAAACCGCTCCTGGGACACCGCCTATGGCGCCGGAGATGGGTGAGGCAAAGGATGTTGTCTGCATGTATATTCCAAACTGCGATACTGGTTCACAACTGCGAAAAGCCATCTCACACATCTTCGGTCGCAATAAGATGTGCACCCGTTTGATCCCTCAACATGTCTGGGTACACTACTGCCGAAAGCACTATCAACGTTCCCGATATCGCAATCCCAAGGAGTATGCCAAGCTCCAGTGTGACCTGGTTCAACAACAGATCCGACGGGTTCACGATTGGTCTATGAATAACCTCAAGAATGATCTGCCCGGAACTGTTCAGAATTGGGGACTAGCTGTCAGAAAGAGAGAGCAAATGCGGCTAGACAACATCAGTAGCGGAAAGAGAAAGAGAAGTGCTAGCACCGCGGGATTTGAAGATAGTGACGGCGACGGAGACGTGCCTGGCAATGGTCATCCTGTTCCACCCACCGCTGTTCCAAACTGGCTGCTTGAGAAGTGTGGAAAAGGCTACAACACACATGGCATTCTTGAGATCTTCAATCGTCTGCATACCGACATTCTAAATGACTCCTTGACCTGCTTCCCCGATATCGAGATTTTGCCAAACATCATCATTGATACAGCGGAGGAGCCAAAGTCGCCAAAGGGATACGCAAAGAGGACAGTCAGCGGGCACAAGCGCTCACAATCTCTCGGCGTTGCTGCAAAGACAGACTACAGCTATTCTCCCGGTGCTCGCCGTACAAGCAACCCGTCCATCTGGGGAGGAGTTGAGAATCCCAATCAAAAGCGTCGTCGGGCAAACGAGATGGAAAATGCGTCACCACTCAATGCATTTGGCGCACCGCGGTCTATGCGTCTTGCTCACCGACCTGTCTTCCACGGAATCGAAGAGCATCAAATGAACGAGGGAGCATATACACACAACCACATTCCAGAGCAACACGTCTACCAATCTCCTCTCCCAGCTCCAACTCCTCAAAGATGGGGTAGCCAGTCTATGGCTCATCGCCTGGAGAATGAGCATGCAGGTGTCCACCGAAGCCATAGCCGATCTCGATCCGATGCAGGATTGATGCGAGGCTCCCCGTTCCCAGCTTCCTACTCTCCAAGCATGCAACATCAACATCCTGGTGAACAATACAGACCCAGCCCATATGAGCAGGTTGCCGCTCAACAAGCTGCTCACCAACATGCTCAGCAGCAACAACAACAGGCTCAGCAACAACAGCAGTATGGCGGTTACTCGAGACAAGGCTCCCACCAACCTGAGATGTTTGGCCACCACACTCCTACCATGCGCCACGTTCGCCACCAAAGCTCTCCCATGATACACCCTCAATTCCAGAATGGGATGCGGGATCCACGTATGATGAACCAATATGTCCAAGGGCATTCAAATACACTTCCTCCGGTTAGCGATGGTCCTCAACAACCACAGCTTCATCAATCCCATTCTTATGAGGGAGTCCCACAAATGCGTAATCCCTTTCCTGGGCACCGTTAAGTGGGAACGTCTCAGCATTCTTTGATTTTGCTTCTCGACACATTGATTCTGCGGTATTTTCTTGCGATGAATTTCTAGCCTCAGCATACAATAATACATCTTTGTCTCAATCTCTTAGCGGTGGCTGTAGGCACGATTCGATTATCGCCGAGCCTCCCAAATCCCCAAGGCACAATCAATACAACTACCAATCCACCAGCCATGTCATATTCTTGTAAATATCTTATTTCCTTGATTCTTCAGCAGCCAACTTCGATTTGTTCCTCCCTGGGGGGAACCTTGGCGCCAACATGACTTGTCGTCAACTTCACTGTAGTGATCTACTTTTGACACTACAGGACAGATTGGCTTTGCTCCTTCTCATTTCAAAACGCAATTGCTCTTCAATACAGTTGCATTCTCGCAATGACTACGAAAATACGAACGTTCACGAAAACGCCTTCGTCAATCTAGATTTCTTTTCGCTTCATGGCATTGCGGTGTCTTCCGAAATACGACTTCTAATGCTCCTTCCTCAAACACCTCTCGAGGTGAATTACGAACCTTGCTATTCATTCGCCTTCAAGCGCTGAGTTCCGCGTCTTCACTTTTGCACAGTTGCCTTTTTCTCTTTTGTCTCTTTTGCGATGGCCTTTGCAATTGTTTTCTTACGGCTACCCTCGTTGCAGGGCACAGGGCAAGCGATGGCGTTTTAGGGGAATCTACCAAAGTACAGACCCAGACTGTTTACTGGTGGATGGGGTGTCATATGCTCTTTCTTTCTTCTAGGATAGGGCGGCGTGGATTAGATTGGATGGTTCGGGAGAGACCTCGTCTACTTTCTTTTTCCTGGGAGTGGATGGCTTGGATTCTTCGTCCTTTTGGATGAGAGATCTTGCTATGCTAGTTAGAGAAAAGTTCGTGATGAGGTTATTATATTAAATGTGAAACACTTGTGTCATCTCGATTGGACGTGCTTGTGATGTTATTGTGATGTTGTATTCCAATTCCATGGATTATTTTGAATCACGCACGTGGGGTTGGGGGCCAACCTGACACTTTGGCGGGCTGGCGGGGCAGGTACGACTCGTCTCCTTTTTGTCATGTCTATGGCGACACATAGTTGGAATAGAGCTTAGCCGATGTTGTCTACTTGTCTTTTACTTACTATCAGCCAGATACCAGCGGCATGTATAAATGTTCAAGGATATACGGCCCGGCGCGAGGTATTAATGGGAAAGGGATGAATTTCCTTGACTGGGATAATTTGACTTTGATGCTCACTCCTTCACCACATGCCTTATTTTCTCCATCGCGCTTCCTCCACTCTTCACTTCTCTTTTCAAGCCTTTTCTCGTTTTCATTACCGGCACATCTCGTTTACAACCCCTGTCTCCATCCGGAATATACCCTCCGCATATTTTCATATTGAGCCTCTTTTCGGCTAAATCTCTCTCTTAAATCCTAGACGACCACATCTCTCTTCTCTCCGTATAGTGGATTGAATGGACCTTCTCTTCACTCGTTACGGACCGTGGTGCCTGGGTTCGATGCCCATATGACCTTGCTTGCACCATACCCTAAGCTGGGGGTGGCTCGAAGAAATTTCTTTATTTTTGTATCTTCAAATAGAGCCTCCTCCCGTTCAAGATTTTGTTTTTGAATTCTGTTCACGTGTATTTGGACCTTTCCAGAGATTTCTTTTCATCTGCCTTGTAGCAAATATGCGTTTCTCACCCCTACTTTTTGCCACCGCTGCCAGAGCAGCAGTTCTATGGGATGGAAGATTCAACGAAATGTCCTCGAGCGCAGACTTGAACACCTGGTCTTGGAGTAACCAAGTCGGACCCTATCAATACTACATCGTACCTCCTCACCCAACCCCCTCAACATCCCTTCCAACCTAACATACCCCAGCACGGTTCCGGCACCGTAAACAAATACGTCAATCTCTCCCCCGACTACAAGAATCCCTCAGACGGGGGATCCAAACAAGGCGCCAAATTCACCCTCGACAGCACCGCCTTCTGGAACGGACAAAACATGCGACGCACCGAACTCATTCCCCAGACTACAGCTGCGATTGCCTCGGGAAAGGTGTTTTATCACTTCTCCATAAAGAGGAGTGGGACGAATGCTCCTTCGATTTATAGGGAGCATCAGATCTGCTTTTTTGAGAGCCATTTTACGGAGTTGAAGAGTGGGTGGATTTCTGGCGCGAGTGGGAATAGCGATACCAGGTTGCAGTGGTTTGTTGGGGGACAGAGTAAGTGGAGTGTTGAGTGGGTGGCGGATGTTTGGCATAATGTTGCTTATGAGATTGTACGTTCTCACCTTTCTCTTTCTTTTCCTCTACCTTTCCCTCCCTCCCCCTCCCGGCCTTTCTACCCATAAATCGTCAACCATGACAACTAACCACCTCAACAACCCAGGATTTCTCCGCAAACACAGTAACCTTCCACCACTCCACCGGCTCCGCCCCCCTCACCAAAACTGCCGGTCCCGTCTCCGCATCCACGTCCTCCAACGGCGCGGACTGGCATCTTGGTGCCCTCGAACTCCCCGTCTCTGGCCGTTCAGACACCAACGAGGATTTCTACTTCTCGGGTGTGTATATCGAGGGCGGATCTCTGACTACAAGTGTCGCTGGACCTGGAGGTGCTGTCACGACGCCTAGCTTGACGACCAAGATTGGGAGTGCGACGACGAGTGTTGTTGGTCAGGACCCGACTCCTGAGCCAGCCCCTGCCCCTGCGCCGGCGGGGAGTTTGGCAAAGTATAGTCAGGTATGTCTATTTTTTCATTCTTTGAAATCGGAGATGAGTTTTGTGGGAAGGGATGAGGCTAATTGATTGGTGTAGTGCGGTGGTATTGGGTGGACGGGGTCGGGTAGTTGTGTTGAGGGGTCTACGTGTACTGCTACCAACGAGTATTATTCGCAATGCTTGTAAGCGAGGGATTGTAGATGATTTCGTTTTCCTCCGAGGGCGTAGAGGATGCAATTCTCTGCTTGGCTTGTATATAGCTATTTGAATGATTGAATAGTATGGGAATGGGATTTCATTATTGGCATAATCGGTCTTGCTCTTCTTAAGTTGTACGGGCAACTCGCTTCCTCAATAGTCTGATTTTCACGAGGGGCGTTAGACATTACACTGAGTATAACACCTGATGGCCTCAAAATCAATAATTAAGTAAACGTCTTCTTCATCAGGCCCTTCAATGACGGGGTGACCTTCCTTGGAATAACCAGCAGAAACATCCTCACAAAATAACGGTGATCAGTGAATAGCCACGCACGGACAACGTCCACGACTCCAATCTCGCTTACACAACGTCAACAACAACACTCTCAAGAATCTCCAAAAAATCCCCAAAAATCCCCAAAACAATAAACACCGAAAAAGAAATATAAAAAAAAAATAGCATTTGACCGACAAAAGAGTTCGGGCCCAGCCGCCCTCCCTAAGTCTCTCTACACTTGTAGGTACCAATTCCAGTGGTGCTTTTCCTTCCACTAGGGAAGGGAGCGTTCCACTTTGCCAGTGTGGCCGAACTGGTGGCGCCCACGCCGGAGCCCATTGGTTGAGAACTGGCTGTCTTATTTGTGTACTTGAAGAGAAGGGAGGTTTGGGGTGGTGGGTCGGCGATGGGGACCCACTTTGATGAGGGGATTCGTGGTTTCGCTATGTATTTATGTTTTGTACTTACTATTTCATAGATACTGGGTACAGAAGACGAGGTTCAAACTTTATCAAAGAAGAGGGACATAATTTGTTTTTTCTAATCTTTTGGAGTCGTCATTCCTCTGCTGTCAAGCGTGCAGGCGCGCAGCCAACTTGAGGTAAGAGGGAAGGAGCGACTTCTACTTCCAGTAAAAGACCAACTCAAATGTTCAAACCCCCCCTTCCCATCTTACAAAAGACAATAAAGTAATTCTAGCCGTAAGCGCGCAAAATCCCACAAGCAAGGAAGTCACCCCCAAAAGTCCAACACCTCAACCTAAATCATCAAAACCCTCTCCGTCCCCTCCCTTCCTCCATCCCCTCTCATCTACATCCATTCTTCTTCACCACCGCCACCACATCCCTCACCCAACCCACACGCCTCCATCCACCACGAAATGGACACTGAACTCTTCGGCTCCTGAGAAACATCCCGCTCGCTTTGGTTAGAGTATCGAGGGAGGGAGCCTTGGCACCAACCACATTCTTGATCGAAATTTCTCGTTACAGATCTCGAGATTGAAATGGTGTCGGCTCTCTTCCTCAGGCCCGTTATTTTAATGGGGAAATAACTACGTGGCGGTACCTGACTATGGAGTTCGCTCTTTCTCGTCGCGATATATGTGGTTTGCAGTGTTTCGCTTTCTGGAACTTGTGAGGGGTATGGGGAGACTCTTTTTATTATGGAGTTTTTATTTTTTTGTCCTTGGTACCGGTATTTTGTTGGGGGAATAGGGGAAAAGGTGCGTTTGAAATGATGCTTGAAGTACTCTCTTTACTGACTAGCTTGCTAGCACCGAGTCGATGGACCTTGACGACACGAACAGACAAAATGAAGAATATTGGTGAGGGGTCGAGATATGGGGAACGAAAGCAAACGGAAAGACAGAGAGAAAAGGGTGAGTTAGGTCCGGTTATAAGACTATGGCAGTTTTGTGGGGAAACACTCTCGAAGTAGGACAGCTTGGAACTTTCTAGCAACAACGAATCATAGACGGCCGAGGTTTCCATCCCTTGCGAGCCCTTGGTTCCTAACTCGACCGACGAGTAAATCAACGTCATGAGAGGGACCCAAAGTCACGACCAAGGATCAACCCGATCCTTCTACTCTGCCTGGCGAGATTTCTTCCTTCGCTTCGAGATTGGAACCATGTTCTCATCTGCGAATGTGGTCTGGCTGGAAAGCCGCTCTGGGCGCTTTCGCTTAGCGGTCCCGATTCTCACCCTAGACCTGTCATTCTCAAGCAGCTCGAGAGGAGCTCGCGATGACAAGTCCGGCGGGTTTCTTGCAAGAGAACCTTCTTTCGACCGAGGTGGTACTAAAAGAGCATCGTCACTGTCGCTTACGCTGGAAGTGAAAGTCTTCTTCACGCATTTGGTAGAGGGCTGATGGGATTGCTGTGTCGCTGTTATGCCTTTTCTGGGTCCCTTGGCCAGAATCGTGTTCAGATCAGGGAAATGTTCATCTGAGCTCCCATTGTCGGTCTTATCCTCTGAAAGGATAGACCCCTCTTCCTCTTCATAGGTACCATCAACCATATCTGGGTCGTCGTCCTTTACCACAAATCCATCATCAGAATCGTGGTCCTCGTCTTGCTCATAATCACGATCGGTCCAAGGCCCCAATTTCTCTCCAACGGGGTTCATGATTACGTGCTGCGCTCTCTCGGTACCCACTCTCCTTTCCGGATGCGACTCCTTCCACTCAAACCAGCAGTCCTCGATCCACAAAAGCATATGTTTTATGTCGCTATTTGAACGGGTGGGGTAGTCCCATCTTTTGCTCCCATAAATCTTTCTCATCTCATGGCCTTTGTATTCTCCGAACCAGATCTTGTAGGACATGGGACTACGATCCGTGGAGATGTACTTTGCATACAGTCTTTCGAATCGTGAAGACTGTAACAATCAGGACTTCTGAAAGCAGAGAATTCAGACGGGGAGTTTCTCGCATTTGGGTTTCGGGGGTTCTTTTGAAACCCTTTTAATAGACCTCGACAGTAGGAATCTTCTAGTTCGTCGATTCGTTTGATGTCTTTGAATTTGCCATACCACATGATTGTCGCCCCGGGAAACTCGTCAGAGTGTGATTCCATCTTTTCTTGGTTTCGTTGCTCTAGTCGGAAGGAAACTCCTGGGAGGGGAGAAGAAGTTTATGACTTTGATCACGAATTGTTCGTGATCGGTAGCAGATTGAGTCATTCTTGATGCTTATCCCCTCCGACCCCATTCTTGGTAATTGGATTGGGTAGCTGCAGTTCTTATCAATTGAAGTACTGGCAAACATCAGGTGCATATGCACCCCAACGACGGGAAAGCAGACAACCTCCGTGTTTGCAAACACGGCGGTTTGTGGTGCAAGGGTCTACGGAATACATGCCTCCTTCCAGATGCGAGAATTAAAGTGGAGTAAAGATATCCACTTTCTTTCTTTTGTTGCCTCTCACCTCTGGAAGAGATTCGGAGGTAATACCCTGGAGCCTGGGAGCCTGGGAGTGGGATGTATAGTTATAGTTATACTCTCGGTATATCTCGGCGGTAGGGTTCATGGCAAAAAAAAGCAAAAGGTGATGTGGATTTAGTTTAGATGAGATTTTGTTGCTTCGTATATTAGGTAGCAGTTTGACAAGCGAAGGAATAAACACTGTATATGGTGTAGTGCGTTTGTTGTTAACTTCTTTTTTGGTAGTGTTCTTAAGCGAGAATCAGGTTGGTTTTCCCTATTTGTCTTCGTTAGCAAACTTGACCTAGGTGGATAAAAGTAGGTCCCACAAGCCTACGACATGCTGTCGTATAGATCAACAAGCTACGAATGCTGTATTTATTCAAATGAATAACCTCGTTCTCGCTTGCTAGATAGTATATATACATATCAAGTTGAACAAAAGGGGGCTGGTCGGTGGGGAGGGCTCGCTTGATAGAAGCGATACTCTGAACACGCCTCCGACTAACTCTTTCAACGATCCCACTTGATTACGCGCTCTCGATTTCTCGTATATTGTGGTAACGTAGTGAAATGATTCAAGGTGCTGGCAAAGGATGGTTGCGAAGAGGGGTTTTGCACCTCTGAGTCCTGAGATGCTTTGGAAGCTTTTATTAATTATGGTGTCTTTAGGTCATTGTATGGTCGGTGTCTAGCTAGAAAGATGCGGCACGTTTCTTTACTAGCCTGCGACCTCTCAGATTTAATGAGAGCGAGCTCAATACATCGCAAATTGATAGAATCAATAGTAAGTATCCCATCGCAACATCCATACGTTGTTTCACGTGACCCGGCACAGATATATAAGCGTTTGTAGTTTAGTTAGCTACCTACTCTTCTCTTCTCTAAGCAATTAGATACCACCAAACTTGGACTGGTTGCCTCACTCTATTCGACTACTCTTTACGAGTACTAGGTGAACCGACAGTAAGAATATACACTCTGAATTGGAGAGGACTAATAAACAATGGCCGTCAAGCAAATTCCCAAACTCCTCGCTCCAAAGCATTTGTTTTGTACAAAAAGACCCTATGGCCAACGAGCGTATTCATCCTCGTCACATATCCCATCCCATTGTAATAGCACATTTCAAGCCTCTCGGGGCCCATCGTTATTTTGGTATTTTTTCGTTTCCATCATTGCTTGTAAGCACCCTCGGTCGCATTGTACATTGATTCTCTATCTTTCCTCATCCCATCGAGCACAGCGACCAGGCCACCATGCCGAAGTCTCTCGAGGACTACATTCATTCCTTCCTTGGCGTGACCCATTTGGTTCTCGGTTTTTCGGCTTGCGATCGCCTCGATGCTGCGCTGGATCCCGGATTTGCTCCACGAAGCTAAGAAGCTCCTCTTGGGCTCCTCATCGACCTCAACAGCCGCAGCCTCACCCAACCTCGTCGCCCTAGCTCTCAATCGATCCCCGAGTCTGCTTCGGAACAGAACCGTCGTCTTCACACCAGTCGTGCCCGCCGTGGCGCTGAAGATATCCGCCTCCCGATTTGGCACCTGTCGCGTGTACTCCTGCTTCTCAATGACGCTCAAGATGCCCGTCCAATCGAGGTTCTTGCTCTCCGTCTTCATCCACCCCTCTTTCACATCGACGGTGCTCGTCTCTAGGATGTAGCTTTCGGACTTGCCACCACTGACACTGCCAAGCACGCTCTGTGGGAGCAGCTTCAGCACCGCAGAGGGCAATCGCGAGGACTTTCGATGGATCCGGGTGGTTTGGAGACGACCTGCTTCGTCGATGGTGCGGGAGATGACATCGGAGGAGAGCACGTGGGTGCTATAGGGATTTGGGTAGCGAAGGAAGTAGGCGAGGCAGACGGTTGGGAAGGCGTAGGAGTAGTCGTAGGATTTGGTGTAGGATTTGACCATTATGGCAATTTTGAATTCATCGGTGGATTTTGGGGTTGATGCTGAGGAGTTGAGGGGTATGAGGTAGTAGGTGGGAGCTTTATTAGAGTTGTAGCGTGTAGGTGAGGGGAAAGGAATGGTATGATGCTGCGGCTGCATGGCCTGAGTGAAGGACGAAGGACGGAGAAGTCAATTTGTTCCGCTCTGTCCTACCCCTGTCAATATCTGCGGAATCTGGGGAAGTGGAAGTGGAAGTGGTCGTGTGAGTGGTACGAGATATTGAGCCATCCTTCTCGAGTAATTGTGTCAGAAAATCAGATGGAAATTAGTAGGTTGAGATATGAGAAACCCCCTCTTCTCCTCTATCTTTATTGATCAATAACCATCGTCATAGTGGCAATCTGACCTGAAAGGCGTTGATCACGTGCAATTCACTATTGACAGGATAGGGACGGGAAGACATGGGTCGGCAAATCAACGGCTAAATACCTCCCACCTCAACACCAAGAGCCACCTTATTTACCCCTCCAAACGATTGTCTGAACTTACACAATTGAAGCACACGAAGACGCCAACACTCCGAAATGGCCGATTCAGAACCCACCGTCGTCGCTGCTTTGGCGGCAGATACCCCCGTTACCACAACCTCAAAGCAAACCGTTGATCCTTGGAATGTGGCCGGGGAAATTGGGGCAGACGGTGTCGCAAAGGCCATCAACTACTTGACCCTCATTGATGAGTTTGGCACCAAGAAGATTTTGGAGGAGGATTTGGCTCGATTTGAGAAAGTCACTGGAAAGAAGCCGCATCGGTTTATGCGACGAGGTATTGTCTTCAGTCATCGTGATTTAAATCTGATTCTGGACCGCTATGAGAGGGGAGAACCTTTCTTCTTGTACACTGGCCGTGGACCAAGTAGTGATAGTATGCATATTGGGCATACCATTCCCTTCGAGTTTACCAAGTACGTTCTATTGGGATTGTCCAATGCTGCTTGCTTATTCTGAGCTGCTTTGGTTCTTAACTATGGTACTCGAACTGACTGGTGACTCACAGGTGGTTACAAGATGTCTTCGATGTGCCATTAATTATTATGCTTACGGACGACGAAAAGTTTATTTTCTCCGAGAAGAAAACCATCGAGGAGGTTCAGAGTTACACTGTAACAAATGCGAAAGATATCATCGCGGTCGGATTTGACCCAAAGAAGACTTTCATATTTAGCGATTATGATTACATGGGAGGCGCATTTTACAAGAATATCACCCGTATCTCTAAGGGGGTTACCTTGAACGTCGCACGGGCAGTGTTTGGTTTCAATGACAGGTGTGTATTTTATACTTCAATTGACCAGAAATCGCATTCTAATTCCCCAAAGCTCTTGTATAGGCAAAATCCACTTCGGTGCCGTCCAAGGCGCAACCTCCTTCGCAAACTCCTTTCCCCACATCTTCGGCGAAGACGAATCCAAAACCACACAAATCCCCTGCTTGATCCCTTGCGCCATCGATCAGGACCCCTACTTCCGACTAACTCGCGATGTCGCAGCACGTCTACACTACGCAAAGCCCTGTCTAATCCACTCCCGTTTCCTCGATGCCTTACAAGGGCCCGGCTCAAAAATGAGCGCTTCCGTCGACTCATCCGCGATTTTCATGTATGACGAGCCTAATAAGATCAAGAACAAGATCAACAAACACGCCTTCTCTGGCGGTCAGGTTTCCGTGGAGGAGCAAAGAGAAAAGGGAGGAGATACCGAAAAGGACGTTTCATATCAATACCTTACTTTCTTCCTCGAGGACGACGAGGAGCTGGAACAAATCCAAAAGGACTACTCATCTGGTGCATTGCTCACCGGAGAATTGAAAGCAAAATGTATCGCTGAGCTTCAAAAATACGTCAAAGCGTTCCAAGAACGAAGAGCAGCCGTCACGGATGAATTGGTTGCCGATTTCTTTGCGAGGAAGAAGCTGGAATGGACGGGAAACCCAAATCCTATTGCTGTAGCTAAACCCGATGGCGAAGACGAGACCGCGGAAGCGGGTGGTGACGAAAAGCAGACTAAGAATCAGCAGAAGAAGGCGGAGAAGTTGAAACTGATTGCGGAGAAGAAGGCTGCGAAGGAGGCTGCGAAGGCTTCAAAGTCGTAGTTCATATACTCGGTCACATGTAGATCATAAAAGCACGATACCCTACAAATTTTCTCATTTAGCTACTGTACCAGCTTTCTTTGTTATCTGCTATATTTTTGCACTGCAAAACTTACTTTTTCCTCTGTAGAATCTTCTCACTTGGAAATTCGTAACGTGGAGTTCTCAGGTTGGGTAATGTGTTAGTTCGTAGTTGCGATGCTGCGCATGAAGATTTTCATTACTGTGTTTTTCAATGAGGTATATTGAGATCTGACAACACAGGAGGATAGCTGCTCAAAAATCGTCCTGGTTGTTGTTTTTGCAGGCTGAATGTTACCGTAAACTCTTTGGGTCCCGGAAAAAAGAGATCGTGTCTTTGGGAAATACAACAAGTTAACAACGCTTGTACAGTTGTTAGCATATTTTTACCAACAAGGGAAGATGGAAGAGAAGGAATTTGTAGTGGAGTGCCTAGAACTAAATAACTTGGGAGTGTCATACCTAGAGCTTGAAGGCGTTGAGTTCTGTATAAAGCTTCCTAGTAAGATTGCAATTTTTGGTCTCCTCAAATAGAATACATGCAGATTGATAAGCACATCGCCTAATGTGTTATATACTTGGCAAGATATCAGCACAGAAGTAGTGTAATAGTATCGCAATTCTCCTAGCTATCTAAAGTACAGTGCAATATGAAGTATCTCATAGCTAGTCCGACATACAGAGTTGTGAGTGGTGAAGACATCTTCTCCCCGTCTTGTCACCTTACTACTTCCCATCATGCCAATTCAAAAAGATCCAGACTCCCATTGAGATGCAATCCACCACGCAATACCTACACGAGAAGTTGTTGAGATGATGATTGTCCGGTCTTTATGATTTCTTATCTAGAGTAATGTGCTGAGAACACACTACCGGTCTTGCGTCTTCGATGGCTTGTTGGTGGCTAGTAGGGAGGGGTGCAACAGTGGAGGGAGAGAACGATCTCGTGGATGTTTCGGGGATTACTGCGGCGGAGCTGGGCGGCGCGTTGGTACATTTCATGCCTTGATTGATATATCAGTGGAGAAAGGGAAATCGACATATGCTCGTAAACTCACCATCGGTTGATTTCTTTTTTTGAATCGCCATTGATGATGCGAGGCTTCCAATTGTTCCTCCCAATGTTATCCATGGATCCCAATGCTCTGATACATCTCTTTCTCTCTTGTTCGACAATGTCAAGCCACTCCTCCGGAGTCTTGACTTGTCCAGGTGTGTATTTGTATGACGGAATGCTTCTGCACATCCCCAGAACATCTGGCAAGGGCTTGTCCCGAAGACTGAGCTCGGTCAGTTGGCCCATTACATAGCCCCATTCACCATCCATTCTATCTTTCTGGATGGTAAATTCATTTACATAGAGAAGGAGCTCATGGTAGGATCTACAGGCTGTTAGCATACTGCAGTTAGAAATTTCGAGATGATCTCTTTGCTTGCCTTGTTTCGTTTCGATGTTGCTGCATTTGTGCCGCTTCCTGGCTCATCGTCTCCCTATTTTCATATCAGCACAACTGGCACTCCTGCAGAATAATACCACCTGAACATACCATCTCGTGTGCTCAATCTCCATCTTTCGCTGCTGCTTGATGTAAAGTTTATTCTCACGGTTACGGGAGTTGAGGGTCTTCTTCATGCTGTCCATAATCCTATCTCTCTCTCCTTCTGCTATGGTTGCCCACTCCTCTGGTGTTCTTTGCTCGCCGAGATACTTATATCGGGTTGAATCTTGTAGGTGTGGCTGAGGCTTCCATTTCGTGTTGCACCTGGACAGAATTGAAGTACCATCAGAGACCAAGGATTCTTGAGCTCCTTCGTGAGAGGACTTCGAACGCTGATTAGGAGATCCGGTCTCTTCTGGTTCTTTAGAATGTGCTTGTTGAACTCGCGTAGCCTCGACTTGTTCCAAGGTTTGTTCGGAGGTTGTTGCCACAGATTGTGGTGGGTGAACTCGAGGAGCACCGATCTGTCTGATTCGTTTTGGTAACGGCTCATCATCAGCAGCGTCTAGCATTTGCCTAGTTCGTTTTGGTAACGGGCCGTGATCAGCAACGCCTTGAAATTTGATGTCTCGGTCTCCCTCATTCTGGATGTCCTCCTCCTCTGGGGGCGGAGTAGGAGGTACAATCATCTCCGTCTCCAAGATGGCGGCAAGTCTCTTGCGATACGCGATTTGCTCCTCACTGGGATGGGCAACCAGGGCGTTGGATCTCTTCACTGCCTTCTCAAAACGCGTTTCAGTGCCAACTTTATTGATCCACTCATTGTATCGTACTGCCTCTTCTTTGTAGGGCCTATCCTGCTCCTCGAAGGTAATGATCCGCTCACCATTGCGCGCTGCGAATTCACATCTGATGGCCTCAGTCGCGCAGTTGCAACGGCCAGATGGATAGTTGACCTTGAGGATTTGGTAGTCTGGACACTCTATTGCGAGGGCGTCGGGATGCTGGAAGGTGAGCGCGATGAAGTCGGCGCAGACGAAGAGCTCTTGGAGAACTGCTTTGCACTTGGCATAGCGCTTGAATGCTTCCTTACACATCTTTAGAGTAGATGCTGGTCAAGGAGAGATGGCTGTGGTGGCCGTTTGATGGGTGGATTCTTTGCCACGGTTGGGGTTGAGGTTGAGGAAAATGGCTAGGCGTAAGGCGACAGAAGATAGAAGTAGCAACGACAAACTGGGATTATGTTATTGCACCACGGACTCAATTCTCAGGCACCAATCAAAAGGCTACATAAATTACAAGTGTCCAGTGAATGTAGCCAGTAGAGAAGCGCACCTATAAGTACAAAAGATCACACTGCCAAAATCGCTAAATACAGTGGACCAAGAGCTCTTACATGCCCTATATTGAGAGGTTTATTAGTTCAAGTTCTCTATGAACACGTCTCTCACTACCAATAGTAATGTCCAGTCGGCCAAATCTCGACTTGATCCTACCGCTAAAATCCATCTCATCTAACCTCGACAGCCTCACGACCAATACGCGAGACTCGGCAGAACAACACCGCAACACCACAACACCTCCCACAGAGACCCAAAACAGCCAAAAAGACCAAAAAAAGAAATCAACACTCAAACCGGCAAAACTCTAGTTGTCGCAATGGGATTTGTCGCAATGGGATTTGTCGCAATGGGATTTGTCGCAATGGGATTTGTCGCAATGGGATTTGTCGCAATGGGCTCGGTCTAGAGAAACCTGTAAACAGGTTTTTTAGGGAACAGCTCCGTGTGCTTGTCGCATATGGTCATTCGCATTACACACTCCAACTGACCTAGCCAGGCGTATAGTACTAGGTTTTCGTGACAGTGGATGTGTTACTTGGGGTTATCAAGATTTGGAGATTTGTGGGTCTGCGTAGGATAAGCGAGGGGGTTGGCGGGGTAGCTTCGGTGGTTGCGGGTTTGGTGACTGGGAGGTGGAGTGGGGTTTACGTGAGCTTGGATCGGATGGGTGGTGAATGGGGATGGTGGATGTTATGTGTGAGCTTAAGTAGTACGCCTAGGGGGTTTGGGACTTTCATGAAGGCTTGTGGTTAGGGTTTTGCTTGGGCATAGAGTTTCGCTTGTCTCGAGGGATTTGAAGTAGTCGAGTTTATCAGAAAATATCTTTGTAGTATGAAGATGAGTCGCACTTGGGCTGTATGAGACACTATCAAGGTAATTCTGGTGGAAATTATCGTCATGCCTAAAGAAACACAGACCTTACACCATATGTTTAAGAAGACCTTAGCTTTTCATGATTAGAAGAACAATTTCTGAAAGCTAAGGGTGGAGAAAATATCTAGCTTTACTGATTGCAAATCAAGTCCTAGGAATATGGTAAATTTGAAGATATACCTGCAACTGCTGCTCGTGGAGCTTGTGGAGGAACAGACGACAAAGGGGGCCGAAACAGAGATAGAGGAAGAGTCCATCCTAGTTGTAATAGGATTTACGTGACAAGAATATTTAAGCCATGACTAGATAAAAAGGCCTTTCCTCTACAGCGTCATCAAATTGGATTTCAATCGATTTCTTGAGTACAGTGTATTGCCGCAAATGTTGAATGGGCTACCCCAAGCAGATATGACCCTTAAAGTTCGCCCATGCAAGAGTATTGCGCAAGACCTTTATAGCTTCTTGAAATAGTTGTCTTGGAAGTTACTGGTACCTTCTCTCGGATCCATGGGCCCATTCGAAGTGAGGCCAGGCAAACTTCAATTTCAGCTTAACAATAACTCAACAAGATATCATGTTGACTTAGTACATATAGGAAAGTTCTACTACTTACTGTCGAATATTGCGTTAGAGTTAATCAACGGCAGTCATTCAGGCAGGAGGCTTGTAAAATAAGCTTACTCCATACTTTTGAATTAGCTACCCAAGTTCACTTTTGCCACCATTCTATTATGCTGTAACTACTTTGTTTGAGCATAGCGTTAATTATATAGCAGACAACGTTCCTGTGGTTTTTTATTGGAAAGAAAGACCCTCTTTGGAACTCTTAAGTCTAATTGTAGTAAAGTATTGATCTCAAGGTTTGACTTCATTGATTACGATAGACTTCTAATACTACCTCTAAGTTTACCAATGATAAATATTGTTAGGTATAGGTAATCATATACGGTATTCATGAAACCAAGACTTCCCATTTCCCCCTTGTCTTATTTTTACTTTAACAAAAGTGCCGCCTTCGAGTTTACGTTGAACATGTTGGCAAAGCCAGCTAATCCGGCGATCAGAGACGTCGAAAGTTGGTCAGGTTGAGAGGACAGCCGGTAAATCGACCCCATGAGGTTAGGCAAACCGACTCTCCTTCTTACCCACCCCCTTAACATGGTACTGGGGTAATAGTCAACCCCTTTTTTGCGTACGTTGTTAGAATCTAACTACTACTTATTGCACACTATAGTCGCGGTGCCCTAGTACTCGGCTAGATCCAAGGCTAATATAGCAGTTACAAGCCAATCTTCATGGCTACCTTAATGGTAACCTCATTTGTAAGCATAACTACAAGCTTAATTGTAAGCCCAAGTCACTATGAAAATTAGGTACTGTAACTGTATATTTTAGCTTGATTCTTTTGTTCAATAACTTTCTAGGAAATCGACAATAACTGTATTAAATCAAAACAGGGGGGTATTGTACTTATTTATGTTCCTTAGTCAGTCGGTACACGTCATATTAAAGGAGGCTTATTGTTGGTTTTCTTTTGTATTTGCTGGCTAGCTTCAAGTGCTTATAATTCACCTACATATAGAGAAGTGGAAAGCGAAGTATAGGCGAGGGGATAAGTCGATTTACCTAACCCCAGGGGGTCAATTTACCAGCTCCTGATTTATGGAATGTGTTTTTGTGGGATATCATGGGCCATTCTTTGTCCCATACTTTTGTTCCCGCCGAGCAAAATCAAGAGCAATTCCGAAGGGTGTGATATTATAATAGTACGAGTAAACGACTTTGGAGTACCCGCTCTTATTTGCTTTGAAGAAACGGTATCTTCGGATATCTCGATCTCAAGAAAGATAATAGAAGGGACTGCCTTGTAAGTTATGAAAAGCTCTACCTTGTCATGGAACATTGCTCCAAAGACAAAACTGAGGTAGGAATGAGCCAAGGAGGGTGGATTCACACTGCGTCTCTTAACTCGAAAATGAGCTCTCGGCAAACACGGCAGTGTATTTGAAAGATTAGCTTTGGAATAGGGGTTGCTTAGTCGATTCGCCAACTTTCTGACCTGCTCAGCCGGGTGAACCTTAAAGTGGGACACAACATGCGGCGGAGAAAGCTCAAAATGAGGGGTGAAGAAACCCCACGGGGATTTGGTCAGTTACTTTTTATCCGGGTAGTGGGTGAGAGCCAATAAAGTCACAAGTTCTTGGAGCTGGTGGACCTGCCTTTCGATGAGTTGGGTCACGTGCACATAATGCAGATTCCCGACCAGTTTGGGAATCTACCTCATTGTAACATGACCTGGCAACTGTTTCCTGTATTAATAATTCGATCCTTTGATTCAAGAAAGACTGTGATATGATGAATTGAAAATGTGACGTGGAAGGTCCCAATCAGGAAATTTCAATACTCACAGAGTTACACTGCGGCTGCAATGTCAGCGCTTCCATTCCGTGTTCTGTAAGGGTTAGAGGGGTTCAATCTAAATTTAGTTATTAATATTTCAATTGACATAAGGACCGTCTAAATGGGAGTTCTGCTTCTGCTTCGAAGCAATTATGATAGATTCATCCTCTCAAAAGTACCAGTTGAAAGCAGTCCCTACAAGAACATCAAGAATATGTCGCGAGAAGGCACAATTCCTGACGCCAGTATCTTGTGGTGGGACTCGAGTAACTTCTGCATTCATTGTCCGTTTTACGATAAACTACACCATCACCAGCCAGACAATCTCTTACTTGCGGGCACAACGGAAGTCAAGACTCACCATTCGTTTTTGGAAACATCAGGATGCCTTCCACGCAAATTTTATCGATGTGTGTTTCCTTTCGGAGAAGATGGCGGCAGAGTCGCTTATGAAATCGACAAGAGACTTGCTCGATTCATCACTGCTTATCCGTCCCCAGAAAGGGATTATGGACTAGTCGATGATCTTGTGAGCCAATTTGCGAAGAAAGCGAGTATTTCCTCAGTTAAATGAACCGGAAGTGACCCACTAGCCAGTGACTTCCCATCAACGGCGTTGAATATAAAAGATTATACGTTCAAACGAGTTTCATTTGGGTTGCCTTCCATCATCCTCAGAGCTCCGGTCGCAAACTACCCAGTCCCAAACGAATGGAAAACGATTGCTCTCTTAGAAAGAGGGCAGCCTTTCCCTCCAATTATGGCCATGAGCGGGTGGAGTCATGCGGAAACGAGGGAACGCATCGGTGGGGATTGGACGTACGATGTGATGGACATTGCAAAGCTTGTCCGTCATGAGTTAGCCGAGGATTCAGCTAGAGATCGAGGAGAGCCTGGTCGGTTCAATGCTTCACACGCAGAGAAACAGTTAACAGCATACTTCATAAATCGGCATGTTTTTCTCCCACAGGAGAAGCAACACAGCATTCAGGAAGAAAGCTTGGTTGTTGACATCGACAACAGGCTTGAAACGATTCTGAGAAATTCGACAAAGGTACAGGAGTTACAGAAACTGGAGAAAACCTGGAAGAGACTAGTATATGAGTTACGGAAGTTGGAGGGAAGTTGGACGAGGCTGATAGCCGAGCTACGTCGGATGGACAAGAAATGGGAGAGACAGGCATTGGGACTTGCCGACGCGGAAATTGATGCTAGAATCCTCCAAAACAAGAGAATGACCCATAAGCTGGAAGCTGATATAAAGACTGTTCAGGCCGAGTTATGGCGTGTATTGGTTGCGCCCCCTGAGGATATGCCAGAGCTGGAAAAGCATGCGGAAGTGCGAGATTTCCGAAAGCTACACCGAGAGTTACGCGAGATCAAGAAGAAGCTAGACTCTCATCAAAAACTCGTGGATTTGTCGAAATATGCTCCCCAATTTTCGCTCACAAGCGCAGCAATTTTGATAAGCTCTCCTGGTGCCAAAGTATGCATGGATTGCACTTCATTTGTAGAGAAAGTGAATGGCTATTTTGGGTTATCGATTGAATAACATGAGTGTACTGAGAAATAGCTGACTGGGCTGTGGATGTGAACATGCTAACCTCTTCGGCGTACCAAAGAAAGAAGGGGTTGCACGAGTATTACACGAGTAGTGTTGAGTTGGGTTGAGTATGTGAATTGATTGAATCGAGTAGAGTACCAAGGTTGGGAATAACTACGTAAGTAATGCTCGAGTACTAGACTAAAAATGATTTCTTAGAAATACCTTTTTAGCTCCTTTATCATAGTATTGCCCTATGAACGTAGAAAGCTAATTTTAGCTTTTCTTCAACTGTTAAATAAGACGGGATATTCGACTATCACGCTCAGCCATACCGTCGTTTATGCTGAGAGAGTCGACGGTCGGAACAGTCGGATTAATGCCTGGGTATACTATGGGGGCTCGGGCCGTCTTGCTCCGCACTTTTTAGTTGTACTAAAGTCATAATAAGCGTAAGTATAAGACTAAAAGTGGGTATCACGGACTTGAATTTACTTCGTCCTACAAGTAGCCTCGGCGAAATACTTCTTAAATGTAAGCTTTCCAAGGGTTCTTACTGTAACATGTTGCAAACCTTACTGTAGCCACCCTCTTCGGGGACGGAAAAAACGTCGGAATTGCACCCCGTATACCCTTTACTTAAAAACACATTATAAACGCCACTTAAATTATAAGAACATGTAAAAAGCATTAGCTGACTCGGAATTGAGTAAACTATAGTTTCATTAGTTCTCAAATGTTTTTCTTACCTCGCTGTTATATAGCGCTACGTGATTGCCCAAAGAAAGCTCTTTTTCAGGGGACGAAATTCCGACGTTTATTCCGTCCCCGAAGAGCCACCCCACCCTAGCAAACCTACCTAGGTACATTTACGAAGTATTTCGCTTGGGACGAAATAAAATACATATCCGAGTCCCGACTTTCAAGCGATAGTTTATTTTGGCTCATTTTTCCACCGCAAGAGTTTTTACCCCTGGTTATGTGTTTCGCTCAAAGCAAACTTTCCAGAGTCCATACAGTACAACCATTTCAGTCGTAAAAATAAGGTGAATTCTCCATCCACTTCCGACCCAATTTCTTCTTGTCCGCAACACACCACAGTTCCACGTTGAAACTTCCCACTCCCCTCTTCTGCGCCTTTCTGTATGCCAAAATATATCTAGAAAGTCTCTCCAATTTCTCCGTCTTCTTCTCGATCTCATACGCGATCTTTGACCGTCGGCAAACTATAAGACGCAACGCATTCCATTTCTTGATAGTTGGATTTTCATCTGTATATTTGTCAGAAAAGAGTCTATTCCTTCATCCCACCATTTTCCAAGATCAGAAGGTGCACAAGGATAGCAAAAAGGGGAACAAATACCAAGTTCATCTTTTCGAACCTCAAAATCAGGATTCAATCTACTCCCCCTATACGGCGGAGCTAACTGCACCTTCTCCGCCCTCTCACTCGCTATAAACTCTCTCCTCGCTCGAAGTTCTTTTGTTCTCAGTCTCGTTTTCAGTCCTTTCAAGTCTCGTAGTTGTTTATTAAGGATTCTTGACATCATCGACGGCGTCAGGGGGCGACGTCTGCGTGGAGGAATCTGCACCCGCTGAGAAAAGTTGTCGTCAAATATTGAGGGGTATTTTGCTTTTGAGCTGAAGCGAGATTGCAGCTTGAGGCTGAATAGATTTGTTAGGTGGGATATGGAAGACATTATGGTTGGGGAGTGCTCTTGTGGTGGATTGAGATGGTAGGTTATGGGGGCATGATATATAGGATATATGAGATATGTGACTGAGGGAGTTATTGGGGTGAAGTATTCGATGGTGGTTATTGGTACTTGGTTTTTGGAGTTATTCACAAACCGTCGCCAGAACGAGTCAATATCTTAAGCGAGCCTGAAAATCACTAAGGCCAGGTAGAAAGAGAGTCATCAAGTGGAGAAATAAGAGCATTAAGAGCGATACCTCAAGGGAACAGTATATATTTCAGAAGAATGATGGGTTATTAGTTAACAACCCTGGACGTCGGCTGTGGCAAAACGGCATATATGGATGATATATACTTGATTCGTAAGCCCATCAAGAGGGTAAGATAAATACAATATAAGAATGCTCATGATACCATAGGAACAAACTTCCGGTACTAGTGGCTACAATCAAATGCGACAAAGAGCACTTGAGAAAATTAATAAGGCTTTGTACATTGAGACAAGCAAATCAATTCAACGTTGGTATCCTAAGACTTACACATCGCATTCTTCTGCACTAGAAGATTTGGTACCCTCCTTGATCATATCGGCAGCCTAAAAAAGTGAACAGTTAACAATCTGATCACCACAAGTGAAAGTAGGAAGTAGAAAACGCGTACCTTCTCAGCAACGGCATAGACAGTAGTCATGGTATGACTACCTGGCAAAAGTGGCATCATACTGGCATCAACGACTCTCAGTCCCTCGACACCATAGACCTTCAGCTCTCCATCCACACAACCACCCTCCTCTTTCTTACCCATCTTGCAACTTCCAGCTGGGTGGAAAAGAGTTCCAACGGCACCTCGAATGAACGACTCAATATCGGCATCACTGGTGACATTTGATCCTGGGACAACTTCGAGAGGCTGGAGTGACGTGATGGCCTTGGTACCCATGAACTTTCTCACATACTTGACAGCCTCCACCAAAATCAACACATCGGTAGGGTTGGTAAGGAATCCAACGTCGGCGGAAGGGAAGACGAATGGGTCGGCGGAGGTGATTGCGACGAATCCACGGGAGAAAGGTTGGATGAGACCAAGGTTAAGGACACCGTCTGCCCAGATGAACTCGACATAAGCTGAGGCCGGGGATGAAAGGAAATCGGTGAGTATCTTGTGTTCGGCTTTATAACCGGCCACGACCTCTTGTGGAGTGTTTGCTGGGAGTAATTTAGTGACATCTTGGCCTTTTGCTGCGGTTTGGATTGAGGTGAAAGCGGGAGTGACCTGTTCCAATGGGAGGAAGGCAAGGTAATCTCCGGTTGGGGTAGAAAGGGGACCTGGCTTTTTGCTGTCGTAGAGTGCTTGGGCCTCTGCAGCAAAGGTAGCATTTGATGTCATGTTCGCAGAAGTGAGGATTGATGTGGTGAGAGTGTTGACGGTGGTGAGCAAGACGTGATCTTGTAAGTTCTGTCCGACAGATGGAAGGTCGACTACGGCTTCGATACCGACAGTGGAGAGTAATGCACTACTACCGATACCCGACAGCTGCATGATTTGTGGGGTGAAGATGGCTCCAGCAGCTAAGACGGCCTCTTTCTTGACTGCGATGGTGGATTTTGTAGAGCCTTTGCTCTCGGCGTACTATTGACCAAAACTGTGAGTACTCGAAGCAAATATCGGGAGAACAGCTCATCATACCTCCACACCAGTGACGATCACTTTACCATCTTTTTTCTCGGTCACAACTTTTGTGACATGTCTCTTAGGAAGAAGGTGCAAGTTCGGTCTCCCTTTGACAGGTTCAAAGTACGCCTCTTGTGCAGAGTGACGGGTTTTAGTTGCGGGGTCCAAGTTATGAGGGCAGAAGTAACCACCGATAGCTCCACCGTTTGCCTGGTCAAGGGCGGTCTTGACTCCGAGTTCTTTGAAGGCCTCAATGACGTTTTCTATGAAAGGTTAGAAAGTAGAAAACCAACAACATGGGGGGATTAACTTGTTGTAGGCCAGAAGAATGGCGAATAGGAAACATGCATAGCTCCTTGGGTTCCATGAGCGCTGTCGTCGACTGTTACACCCCATTCTTTGGCGATCTCAGGGGTTGGTGGAGTGAAGATCTCGTTCTAGTAGTTAATTAGTATCGAGTTGGAGGAGAAATTGTGTTCAAACAAGGTTAAACTTAAGCTTAACCTCCTCAAGGGCCGTACCTTTTTGAAGTAAGGAAGTAAACCGTCCCAACCCCATCCTGAGTTTCCAAGACTCTCCCATCGATCATAGTCGGACTTAGAACCTCGGTCGAAAACCATTCGGTTCAATTTGGTTGATCCTCCGACGACTTTGCCCAAAGCAATTGCAGCTTCTCTACCCCCAATAGCCGGATTTGCAGCATAAGTCATGTTCCAATCATAATTCGTGCCAACTGCGCCACCAGCAAGACCAGGGACGGTTACAATGTCCTCCTTTGCGTCGCTAAAACTGATGTTAGTTATTGTTCGATATCTTGTAAATTCCCAGCTTACAAGTCTCCCGCCTCAATGACCAAAACGGTGGTGGCTAATTCATGTAAGTTCTTTCTCTCTCTCTCTCAAAATTCTCTGTGGAGGCACATACCTGAGTCTTCAGTCAATCGGTTGGCAACTGTCAAACCACTTGCGCCGCCTCCGATGATAACATAGTCGTAGCTCGACAGAAGCGACTCCTCTCTTCTTTGCACTGTTCCTTGAAACGTCGTTGGTGCACTGGAGACGACTACAGCAGAGATAATCGCCACCGCGACGGATGAGAGTTTTGAGAATTGTGCCATTTCGAAAAAATTCAAAGAGATGCCGGTAAAGAGTGTATGAAATGGCAGCAAGCTGTACATCACAAATCCTTGGGGATCAGCGGGATATATAAGTAAGAAGGAAAGTCACAGCCCCACAGAAGGAGCCGACTCACGCTTCTCCCACATGTTTCCCACAAGGCTGTGCGTATAAACATAAGTCCACTTTGTCTGAATGGATCTAGGCTACTCCACGTCAAGAGATTTGAGTATCAAAGCCTCTCTACGGCAAGTAATTAGACTTTTGGCAAAGCCTGGGGAGACACCCTCGTTCATAAACGACAACCAAGTCAAAGACGGGGGAGAATACATCAAAGTAGCTTAGCTTCCATAGAATGGACGGCAAGTCGCTCAAGTGGATTCGCTAACGGTCCATTCAGCACTGCTGTCTAATCTTGGCTAAAGTCTAAATACATTAGTAGCCGTTTCGGGTGATCGCAGGAAAAATACCCGCAACGGAAACCCTAAACGAGCGATATTTGATCGGGACGGAGCATAAATGGCCAAGCCCATGACCCCGATGCCACTGTGACTTGTCTGATGTACAGTAAAAGTGAATATAATCGGAAACAAAACAGAACAACCATACGGTATTCAGGGCTGTCTCGCTGGCCTGGGCCAATTCGGCTCCCGCCAGCCTGATAGAGGTCGTCCAGCCCTAAACGTCGATAACATCATACTTCATCCCAGGTCAAATGAACGTACTGAAGTAAAGTGTTGGTGGGGGTTTTACTTTGTACTCCACAGACAATCCCATGTGAACCTTACTAAGCATTACGTATGGCACGCCTTGGGACAAAGTAAATTAAATTCTCCAGACACTTCATATTGCTCCGCAGTAAGTGTTCTCACGATCCACAATAGAACGGAACAGGTAAGCACAACGAATCCATCCGAAATTGTGGCCCGAGTCTGTGGGATAGGTAAAGCCGCGGAGGATTGAATTTGTACCTGCAGATAGTTTGTACAAGACTACAGGTATATACCGGTATACGGAGAAAGCAGAATGTTCAACTTCCAACGAGTTTGATCTTCAAATATTGAGCCACCATTGCCAGACTTCGGAGAGTCGGACTCGTGAGACTTCATGGAATCCGAAGTACTGCCTAGGTACATTTGATTTCAGAAGCGTTCGAAGTGAGCAGAGCGATTACCCCTATTTTATCGGAATCCTTCTTGTTCCTGTTTTATGGTGGATACATAATAAAAAGATCCTAGAGAAACCCAAGTTAAAACACTTCACCGCATCCTCATTCCACATTAAATCTCACCCACTGAGCTTTCCTAAATACCGAATTAATGCACCCAACTATGAGACGAAAAGCCAGTCTTGGATATAAATGTGATATGTTTCATTGAACAATAACAGAAGGTTTCTTCTGCCTCGGCTCCCGATCAAATCTTGGCTTCCTCCTATCTCCAATCCAAGCCCCGATGGACCGATCGAAGCATGTGTTCGATCTTAAATACTCTATCACAGCCTAGTCCAATTCAGAGTTAGTTTTCGTCGTCCCGTGCATTTCGTCCTAGCTGGCCTTCACTTCTCATGGCAGTGTCCATCCCCCTTCTTTTACTAAAATCGTGACTCCGTCCTTTCTTATATCTGAGCTAGCATCCGGACAAGGGGCCTCAATTACCGGAGCAAGTGCCGACGATAAACACAATAAAAACCTTCCGATAAGTCGGGGTTACTTTCGTCGTAGTGTCGTAGCGACACATCGAATGCTTTCGAAGCTCGGACATTTCTTCGCTGTCCTTGGCTCGCCTTAGAGTTTCCTCGACGTGGTTATGATCCCCGGCTATTTTATAAGCTTATCTCCCAAACAGTAGGAGCAAACAAATAAACAAATTCAAGATGCTTTGTATTGTTGTGGTCTCGGTTTTGATATTCCCGGATATCCAACCCGACGACTCTTCGACCGGGTTTTCATGCCATGCGCACTAGGCATTTTCGCAGATGTCGTCTTTTGCTTCGCCAAACTCTGATTCTGCTTCAGCAGAGGCCGAAAAGTGCGACTGAAGTTGATTCTATGTCGTGTTACTGGAGTAACTTGCCCTAGATATCATGTTAGAAGAGTCTTACGACATGCGCCAAAGGCCAACTCACGTCTCTTTCTCCGCTGTCGTTGCTCAATACCATCGGAATCAGAATCCAAGGTCGACCTTCTGCTCGGTAATCGTGGTAGCCCTTTTCCCTTGGATCGTCTCTGCTCCAACGAGGGGCGGGCACTGGGGTAATGGGCAGCACCAGTCTGCCATGCTCTCTGCTCGTGCGGCTCAGGTGTAGGAGATCGTGAAAGACAGGGCGGTGGTTCCTGGAACTCCATGACGCCCTCGAAGTACGCCGCCAATCTGCTCCTTCTGACACCGGCCTGCTCATTCAACCGTCTTTCAACCCAGCCGATATCGATATGGTCGTAAGGCGCTGTCATACCGAGTGCATTGCCATCGTCATCGCCCGTGTCTATGGTGATAGTGATGGATGTGGGGAGTGTTGAGAGTGTTGCGAGAGACCGGTCTGAATGCTCACGGTGGCGATGAGGTTGGCATTCCTGCTGTCCCATCCCACCAGGCTTCGCTTGTCATCCGCTTGGGGGACGAAACACTAATCTTAACACGGTTAGACCGCGGGGTCTAAGCTGAAATGGAATATATTCTTGGCGTCAAAAACACCCGAGCCACGTGACAGTAAACAAATTATCACCTGCAAGGTCCAACTTTTCCAATCTATGTTCTTAGAAAACGTGTATCAGATGTCCAAAAATCGATGACTGGCTATGGTAATTAGAGAAATGATCACAACGCGTGAAAAGTCCAAGATCCTGCTCCGAGTACCGCGTGTTGCTGCTTTTCCTGTCCGACCGAGACGTCTGACATGGTCATTCGCAGGCAGGCACAGGCAGCAGCAGGTCAAAAGCCTAGCCTTACTCACAAATCATCTTGCATAAGAACTTGCATTTTATCCTTCATGAATTAGTTCCATATTTTAGGTAAAATGAGCAATTCAAGCTCCTCATCGTGGATATCTACAGAACCATCAACCCGAGTTTTATAAGAAAGAGAGCTAGAAGCCCAATGCCGCCTTAATCTCGAAGGAAACCCCCGACTCACAAAGTTAGATGAAGAAGGAACATTTGCTAGACTAGTGCCACAGAACAAATATGCACGAGAAGCATTCAAAAAACTGGCTGAAACGGCGACAAGAGAAGATCCCATTTATCGTCATCATAAACAATTTTTACATGTGGATGGACGTAGAGATATCGATCCACTAGAACGAGAAGACTGCTTTGTATTCTCGCTTGGGAACTTACCTGAGTTTCCAACAAAAGGCTGGAGAATTGGAAGCGGCCGAAAGAATCGATCCCACTTATCCGTGGATATTTGTATCCATGAGGGAGAAGGGATTGCAGGGCTTCATGCGCGTTTTTGTTGGGTCAAGGGTGGTGGTGGCTTCTTTCTCGTCGCTGATAATTTGCGCGAAGTACCCGTCATGTTGAACGGAGAAGTTCTTAAACGAACTCAAAGATTAATCCCATATCGGAATTCCATTACACTTGGGGAGTGTAATTTCAGCCTTCAATTCCAAGAACGGTCACCTGAACAAGAGGAGCAATTTCAAATTGAACTGTCGGCTTTTTATCTCAAGGTAAGCCTCTTTAGTGTTTTCCATATCAATAGAACCCACTTCAGATTGGATTCAGTATTATTTCATATTTGTTGTTTTTCTTCTGGAGAAAAAGAATTATGGTATCCGGAACTCTTGAGTACTTCCATCTCTCGATACCTTTTGGACAATTCTATATCCTTTAAGCCCTTACACAAATACATCCAACATCGGCTAGAGATTCATGAGAATCATTCCACTGGCCCGCAGCGGGTTATTTGCATTGACTTGGAGAAGTTTCCTCGTTATGCAGCAGTTATCATAAATCTCATATCTTTCTCGTAACATATATAACAAGCACCAACTGACCCTGACGATTCTTTTAAAGGTCATGCAAGAAAATGCCCCGATGTTACTACCAACTGCCTCAGGGAATGAAGTAACGATTGGAAACTGGATAGTAAGAAATCCAATAGCAAGTGGAAGCTACGGTCGCGTATCAGTAGTATATCATATATACACTGGGTAAGCCGCAGCTGCAAAGGAGCTCTGGAGGACTCAGCGCAATAAAGCTTCGGTGAATCGCGAAGTATATATAGCAAAATATTTGCAGAACTATAATCATGTTTGTGCCCTCTTTAGTTCTTGAATTCACTCCAGTAAACTGACGAAGTCCTCAAATAGGAAAGACTGGGTATCCCCTTTGAGTTGTACCAAAAGACCATAGTCGACGCCGCTGAAAAAGCACGCTACGCCAAACTCCTCGACTCAAACGTAAGCGAATAGTGTTTTCATCCCATTTCCCAAACATCATTTCTCCCATATCCAAAACCATAAACTTCTAACACCCCAAAGTGGACCCCTTCATCGTCCGACGCCATCTCCCTCCACATCCTCTACTCCCCCCTTTCAACATCCACCTTCTCAACCCTCATTAAATCCCTTGACTCCCCCTTAACCCGCACCCAACTCTTCACCCAACTCCTTGAAGGAATCGCCTACCTCCACTCCATCGGTATCACCCACCGCGACATCAAGCCCGGTAACATAACAGTCCGTTCCTACGATCCTCCTAGCTGTCAAATCATCGATTTCGGCTGTGCGACCAGGAACAAGAAAACGCTTTACGATAGACCGGGTACCGTGGCGTATTTGGCGCCTGAGCAGAAGGAGGGATTGTGGCATGCTAAAGAGGTGGATTATTGGGCCTGTGCGCTGGTTGGGACGGAATTGGTAGGGTATATGAGGAGAGGGAATGATAGGGTTGAGGGGGCAAGTTTCGAGAGGTTATGTAGCTGGTTGGATGTGGAGATAGAAGGGGAGAGGGAGAAGGGGGCGTTGGCTCAGACTTGTAAAGCAATGCTGAAAGTTGAGCCCGGGGCGAGGATGTCGGTTAGGGAAGTGTTGGAAGGGATTTTAGGGGAGTACGGGGATGGAAAGAAGGGCAGGAAGAGGGTTACTGAGGGGAAAATTGGGGAAGCATCTTCGCCCAAGGGCATAAGGGTTGTGTAGAGAATCTTTGGACGTGGTTTCCCGCCTAATTTTGTTTGTAGTGCATTGGTTTTCTAGCGGTACATTTCTTGCCAAATACAGTATACCCAGAAGACAGCTTTTACTAAGATAATATATTTACACATTCTTAATGATATAAATTGTTGAGCATATTCTGGCATTCACTCCCATACTAAATTAAGTGGCGTACCATGATATATGGGCACAAAAATCTGTAAATAGCTTCCTTTCTCTTTAGCAGTCAACAATTGAACAATAAGCCACATCCAAGTCTCCTAGCGCGTTCAACATAAATTGTAGCGTGTACGTCTTCAGAGTGCAAACAGCCAGGAGCAATCAAGAGAATAAAGTTTCAGATCTTTTGTCTAAGTTTATATACTAGAGTTGGTTATTAGCTTCTGAAGATGATGATAAACTCCAAAACACATTTTTCAATCCTTGTCTTGTTCAAAGAAGAATTGGTGTTTCAAACAGATAATATAATTCACGTTTTCACTATTAGTCAATAGTCCATAATGAGCATGGTCTTTTGTGCCAAATATGAGTGAAGTTAGCTATGACATCAGGCCATCTTAGCCACCCAAAGATCCTTGGCGTCAAACTGAGATCACATCTTGTTCAAAAGGCTGTTGGCTCTTCCAAAATTAAGAGAAGTCATCCTTACCATAACATCTACCTCTCAGGACCTGCCACAACATCGCCATAATACATCGACATACTCCACCAAGAAAGATGGCCCACAAGAAGAAGAAGCCAGCGTTACCATCTCCAAAGAATACGAAGAACATCAAGCAAAAGACTATCGCTGGTAGGTTGCTTCGTCCATAGTCTACCTCCTCTATCTCGTATCTCATAACTAATGAGTATTGAAGCGCAACCCAAACTAGATGGGTTACCTAACGAGCTACTCTTCCAAATCTTTGAGCACCTTAATCCTGTTCATGCAACTTGTGCTGGCCTCACATGTAAGACACTCTGGGTAATCCGCAATAGACCTAGTCGCCTCAGCCCTCGAAGCTATTTCTCTACGCAGACTACATTTCTCTCGACCCAAACGAATTCAGTGTCGAAGAATTTCGGTCCAGCGACGACGATAGCCATCGCAGCCCATTTGCATCGCAGAGACTGGGTTGGGATCAACAACCCCCGCGTACTTATGGCTATTCTCACCACTTCATACCCTCAGACTCATACAATGGAAAATTCTTTCTGTGTTCTCTCCTCCACAATTGGATGGGTAAAGCGAATTATGTCTACGATAAAGACAAAAGGATATTTGTGCTGAAGTGGAATAAGAAGGAGAAAGAGGAGACTCTCCAGTTGAGAGAATTATTATGTTTTAGGGTTGTCCTTCTCATTATTGGCGATTATTTAAGAATGGGTTGTAGTCAAAGTGAATCTTGTAGAGCTCCAGTTTGGTCAGGAAGACTATTACATACAAAAGAAGACCGTAGGAAAAGAAGACGGGGTTGGACAAGTGAAGGGCATACTAGATATACATAGTAGCATCTCATTGAGCTGCTCCATGGCATTTGTCATAGAATAAGGTTCCTTCCAATTCACAAGTAACATAGATATTTCTCCAAAAAACGTGTTTAGTGGGGAGTATTGACTATACTTCTACAATTTACTGTGTTTTCCAAAGTTCAGTTTTTTTCCACTCTACAAAGATGTGACTTCCTCTACTAGCGTTGTAGATTTATTACACATTGGTTTGATTACATAGAACTAACACCAAAAAGTGAAATACGTAAATAAGAGGCCATTTTCTGAGGTTTTCGTTCATTGTATGCAAAGTGAATCACAGCATGAGATAGTAAGGTTGCTTGGCGTTCATACTAGACCAACGTGAATATTCAGATGCATGGTATTGTTTACAGCTGCCACCTTGCACAGATCATCCTACAAATAGTCCACATAATCTCATGTCATGATCTACAATCCATACTTCTCCACATTTGCGAACCACTTGTCATCTCTTCAACTTCTTCAACAATCCTCAGAGCCTTCCGTTTCTACAGCACCCACTTCCTACCACCAGAATAAAGCTTCATCTTATTCTGAGAACCATGGAGTACGACGAAACAGAATCAGACCTGCCACTCTCTACAGAAGACGAGCGAGAGGTCTTGGTCTCTGGTAAGTTTATCCTTTCATCAACTCATTTTATCCAAGCATAAATGAAAGGCATTGCTAACATAGAGACAAGCACCAGTCAGACCAAACGTATCAGCTAGACTGGTTACACTTCCCACTGAGCTACTTTTCATGATCTTCGAAGATCTCCAGCCTGTCAATACGACCTGTGCTGGGCTCACATGTAAGACGCTGTGGGCTATCTGGAACAAGCCACGTCGTCTCAGCCATCGAAATTGCGACTTCATCTAAACTATATCCATATTGACCCAGAACGGTACTGGGCATACTGCGGCCATCCCCGCAACAAGAGACGTTTGAGACCATACACGGCCCACAACTGGGATAAGTTTTATTCTGCCGCATACCGGTACTATTTATGGCCTGCAGAACTTTTGCCTCGCAAGTATTGCTCATGGAGTTACAAACATTTTTTACAACACCGTCTTAGAACGTGGATGCGAAAAGTGAATTACTACTACGATGAATGTAAGACCAAATTTGTTAGGAGAGATGCGAATTACTTTTACGATGGGTACGATGAAAGATTTGCTGAGAGAAAACCAGGAAAGGAGGAAAAACGGAAAGGCATATATGTTTACGGAGTCATGCTTATTCTTGGAGATACCTTGAGACTCTCAACTCATTGAACTCATTCTCCCCGAGGTGATAGTTGCGAGTTTTCTCGGGATGACTATTGCTACCATGGAATTGACTTCCATCCAGATGCTATAGGAGCAGATCGGACCGCAAAGTTTATTTGACGGGAAATTCAGAAATAGCCTCTGCGAATGCAGGAAGCCTGAGGTGTATTTTTCATAATATTCATTCATATGCGATGGTGTCTAAACCAAGTCTTTTGCTGTACGGGGCTGACGGGGCTGGGAGTGACTTAGCTAGTCTATGTCTTATGAGACAGTTTAGTCACTCCCCGATTGGGGAGGGGGTAGTCTAGTCAATTGACAATTGCAGAAATAGTGAACACCATTCCTGTAATACGTATGTGTACTTCTCTCATTTCAAAAAACACTTTGTATTTGCTAATTCTAATTTCCCTTTGTTTCCGCCAAAAGCTCGAATCACGTTACATAATTGATTCTGAGATAAAGCGCTAACCATCTGTGGTGATGATGACGATTCTCAAGGAACAGGAACAGAATCGAAGATAATTGTGGAGAAGTGACCGCAAAGCCCTGGGATATAAGAACGAAAGAGCTCTGTTGAGTTTGAATAAATGCTAATGTGATATAGAGAATTTGTAGATTGTAAGAGTAAGAGATTCTGCCGTATAATGTTATTTTTTTCGCTTCAACAAGTGTAATCACTAGGGTTGTTAAATCTAAATTTAGATAACTTATAAATAATTAAAACCCCTATAAATTAGCCTAATTTAAGATTCTGCCTCTAAATTTAGATCTTGGCATACAAGAGTAGGGTAAATAAAAGGAGCAAAAATAGACTATTTTCACTAGAAAGATTACTAAAGATATAACTTATATAAATAAGTACTTAATTTATCGAACTACTAGTATAGTAATTCTTCCTCGTTATTACTCGAGTCTAGTTAGATTTTACTATTATTATTGTTATCTTCTTCTTCTATCTAAATTAGAGCGTGACTATTCTTAGACATCATAGGAGTGTATTGAGATAGTAATAGGGAGCCGCTAGACTATTGAGATATACCGTTGATATGATCACGTGACGCAGAAAAATAAAACTTAATTTATTTTCCTCTAAGCGCCTAATTTACTAATTAATCGTAATTTATATGAATTAGATCTAAATTGACAACCTTAGTAATCACAATTAATACCGACAAAACAGCGTACTACTCTTACCTAGAAAAAGGTGTGTCAACAAACCGACGAATCCATGATTTTCCATTTACTATTTAATGATTTCAGAATCATTTAAATGTCCTAATTACCCAAAACAGTTGAGATGGGGCATAGTACGTAGCATTTAAACTTAACTATTCTCAGGTTTTGCTTGAGGAGTTTCAAATGGAATTCCCGCTTACAGAGTTAACCGAGCATCGATTTCCACGCTTAGTAGTATCCCAATCGATGGGAGCTGAGTGCAATGTGATACGCTTATGTAATTTTAAGCAGCACAGATCAAATGAACCATGGTCATAAATAAAAACAGCAGCCTACATCCTACACTAGAACAGTTTTCGGTGTCCGTCTAATCCTAACCTCCCCCCTTAATTTCAATTTGACGCTTAACTTTTCGATCATCTTTGGGGATCTCAGAGGAGGCTCTTTGAAGCTTCTCTGCTGAGATGAAATGCATTTCAGGGGCTTCTTGAATTGATGGTGCCATACTAAAGTGAAAGATAATAATAGTTGTGTTTTTATTCGACAGAATCACTTCCAAGGAGTGAGAAGAAACTACCTTCCTATGGATGAGGAGCAAGGCACCTTCTTGACAGAAATCATCAGGTCTCTTGAGCTCGATGTGTATAACCTACGCCCCACAACCCTGCTTTACTAAGTAGGCAGTGACTCATCACAAACAGGTGGACAAAATAAGCGACAGTCTTTTGACCGTTCGTTTTATGCAAATTGCATCACCCTCTCATTGAAAGTGCCATGTAAATAAGTTGGGGTTTGATGTATTAATGATAATGGTATAATCTTACGGACAAAAAAACTGCCGTTAACTTTGTCTATATGATGAGCCTACTGTACTTGTAGCAGATATTTGAATGGCGGTAGGGGAATATATTGGTGGGGATGAGCTTTAAATACATGCCTCGGATCCGCCTAGTTGACGTATGAGTCGAAGATCCTTTGAAAGGTGGATCATCTCACACGAGTTCAAGTTCGATCATTACAGCATGTATCAAGAAAGGTCCTGGAGAAATGATAGTTGGTTGACCCTTTGCCAAATGCAGATTAGCAGAGTTGCAGAGTTGCATAACAAGCAACCAAACAACCCTGCAAACAAACACATGATGGTACAAGCGAAAAAGGGGTGGAAAATACAGATGCTGGATCGGAAGAGAGTTTCTGATCAAGTAGGTCAATGGGGTGCTGTAACTTGTAAGCATAAAATTGTATCAAAATTATAATGGCGATAAGCGAGCAGGATATCATAGGTATGCCAATTGTGCAATTCTTTTGAATAGGGCTGTTTTGAGTTGAATGTACTATATTGTACACAGATGCGTCACGTCAGGAATACGAATTAGGAGAAATGTTGGATTATGTCTACCTAAGAAAATAAATGAGATACATCATACTGTATCCCCACCATTCCTTCATTCAGGGCCGACATATCCAGAAATACAAAAGGGAAAAACTACCTAAATCCCATCCCTCTCTCTCATTTCGCGCATGAGAATGTGTCCATCTACCCAACAAAACAACACCACACGAAAAAAGGTCAATACACCCCCCACAATTTCCTACCCCCACTCATCCTTCCTCCTAACAACCAAACTTCCATACACTTCCCCTAAATTCTCATACCCATCTCATTCCCTCATTCTTTCTTCCCAAACTCCCCAGTCGGCGTCTTTACAATCAAAACCACCACCCCTCCACAAAAAGCCCAAGCCGCCATTCCGATGACATACCACCAAATTCCACGAGATCGCTGTGGGACTACCTTCTTCTCTGGGCGTGGGCTTGGGCCAAGAAGAGCCCGAATCTTGGATCGCTTCTCGCGCTTCATCTTGTATGTGTCTTTAGCGCGGCAGCGTCGGCGGATGGCGGCGCGGAGGCGGGTGTATTTTGTGAGGATTGGGTTTGGTGTTGCGGTTTGAGTTGGAGTTGGGGGTTGGTTGCCTGTGGGAGTTGGTTAGTACGACTTCTGATATGAGAATAAGTTTGGAGATAGGAAAGAAAAGGGGATACATACCAAAACCCATCTCCAAACCCCGGATTCAACCTACTCCCCCGATACCCCGGACGCAAAACAACCTTCCACGCCTCGCTACAAGAATTAAACTCTCTTCTCACGCTATCCTCTTCCTTCTTCAACATCGGCAAGAGGGTCTTTAGGTCAGCGATTTGGGCGTAGAGCTTCTTGTCGAGGGCTCGGAGGTTGGTCCCGTCGCCTAGGACTTCTTCTCCTGGCTTGACAAGAGATGAGCTCCTAAGTGCGGTGTAGGAGATGGATCGAGGCTCGGTGGTGGGGAGGAGGGGTCCTCGCTTGGTTCTGCGGAATAGGGAAGGGAGGGAGGTGCGGATGGCGGAGAACATGGTGGTAAGACGGGAGGTTTGGTTTGGGATGGGCGTTTGGTTTGAGAAGGTGTTGTATGCTAAGGCGGGCATGTTCGACTGGTGTTGTACTCCAGGGTTTGCGATGAGGTCCTTGGAGTTGTGGGTGTTAATGACTTGGAATTAGGAAGCGTTAGCGAGGCGGATTGTTCTGTTCTGTAGTGTGAAGTTCTAGGTAGATTGTGTAGGGCCTAGGCGAGGCGGATAGACAGATTGTTATAGTTCTCGCTTACGAAAAAGCTCATACAACGCTTCTTCACTTTGGTTGTGTGGTTTTTGTTAGGGGAGGAATACTTCTTTAGACTTGCTGTGTTGGCTTATGAGGGTGAACTCGCTTAGGATTGTGGTTGAAAGGGGCTACTCAGGGGTGAATTTGTGGTTAAGTGAGGTAGGTAGGATTGTTGTTTACGCTTAGGAACTCTATTGGTTGACGACTGTCAGGGGGGTAAAGGGGGGTAAAATTGCTTAAACTAAACGATGAGAAGGTGACTTGATGATGAATGATGCCTGGTCATTACTCTATATAAAAGTTAACCTAATTAGATTCATTCTATTATTACTATAATATCCTTTGATATAAACCTTATATACTAGAAAGATATTTTTTATTATATATTATATTAGGTATAACTAATAGGTATTATTATAAAGTAGGTAATAAGCCTTAAAGCCTTTCTCTTTCTTTATTAATAGTAGTTTTTAATTTATACTAACTAGTAAATAAAGTGTAACGAATACTCAAACTGGCTGACTAAACTTGGCTGGGTGTTCGCTGGTTGGTATGCTATGATAAGAAGAAGACTATCGGGTTGTTCACTTGGAAGTGAACTCGTTACTTGTATCAAAGATGTCAAACTAATATGATAAGATTGATAACTAAGTTGAGCACGAAGCTCCTATCTAATGGCAGACGTGCCAGTCTCATATAGAACCTTCGTTCTCTTGTGCTAGCTTGCTAGACTCGTCGCTCGGTCGCTGCTAGACTGTGTGTGTGTGTGTGTGTCTATTTAACGTCTAGGCGGGCACGTACGCAAGTCACGTGCCCTTCAGTCCCCGTTGGG